CCCCTGGGCAGTGTCAGGTGAGCTTTGACCTTGGGACCCCGGCTGGGAGACAGTCCCCCTGGAAGCTCCAGGGACCAGCTTGATGGATCCACTAGGCCCTGATCCAGGGTTGTATTTTAAGTTGAATGGGTAGAGGTGTTGGTGACAGAAGTTGATGATGGTCACATGTGGAGACATGGAGGAGTTCAGGATGCACTTTCAAGGGGTGGTGATAATCTGCAATTCCTGGTGGTTGTCCGTCGTGTTGTATTTGGGGCCTGAGGTGGGCTGGAGTAACAGAGTAAGTCTCACAGCTTTACTGACAGGCCAGGGCTTGGAAAGCACAGTGGCGAGGGGAGGAGAGCCTTAGGCTTCTGCATCCGTGCAGGCGCCTGTTAAGTCAGTCTTCACAGTGAAGGGCACAGTTTTCCGCGAGACTGCCCTCACTTCAGACACCAGCTGCAAGCTGGGGGATATGGGGGGTCACCCCCCAACCTCTGACCAACTTTTTACAGATTGGGGACCCCTGCAGACTCCCTCAGGTTTGATAATTTGCTAGAACTCCTCACAGAATTCAGGGAAGTACTATACTTGTGATTACTGTCTTATTATAGCAAAGAGATACAAGTTGGAACCAGCCAAAGGGAGAGATGCATAGTGTGAGGTCCCGCAGGGTCCTGAATGCAAAGCTTCCATTGTCCTCAGGGCCGCTTTAACCTCCTGACACAGTGGTGTGTACGCACAGAGTATTGCCAACAGGGATTCCCACCCAAGCTTCTGTGCTGAGTTTTATTGGGGTTTCACATGTAAGCACATGGATAGAGTCAGCACCCATGTGGTTGACTCAGTCTCCAGTCCCCTTTCCCTCCACAGAGGCTAGGCTCAAAGCACAGCCCTCTAATCACACGGTTGGTTTTTCTAGCCTGGTGGCCCCTAGTCCTCAATCATCTTATTAGCATAAACTATCAGATGTGGTCCGAGCCCCCCCCACATCCCTGCCTTCCTGCCATGTATCACAGAGACACTCCAGTTCCTTAGGAAATCCCAAGCGTTTAGAGATTACCTCCCAGGAACTGCGTACAAAGGCCAGCCAGAGTCTCAGACGCAGCTGGAGTGGCAGCCTAGTGAGGTGGATGGAAGGTTACCTCCACAGCTCACCTAGGGGATATGAAAGGAGTTGTTAAATGATCTACCTTGCAACGTTCCTTAGTGGATATCAGAATGAGGTAACACTCTGCTCCCACTCACAAATGGGGATGGCGGGGGGAGTGGAAATGTGCTGGGGGAGAAGCCCCTTCAGCCCCAAAGCCTGCTCACGTACCAGCTATAGACACTGTGAGGCCTCAGGCTCCTGGTTCTGCCGTGTATGTTGGCTGGAGTGAGCAGCAGTGATTCCTGACCCCTCTTTGTGTGTCTCCAGGTCTACAAAGATCTACACTCCTGGTCGAAAGGAGCAAGGGGAGCCCATGACTCCTCGCCGCACGCCAGCCCGCTTTGGACTATGAGCTGAGGCTGTGCCTGCAGAGCATGGGAGTGAGGTATTGAGCGACAGGAGCACCCTTGGCCTGCTGACAAAATCTTTTCATCTCTGTGCTTTCATCTGTGTGCATCACGGCCGCTGGGGGAAGAAGCTTCTGCTGAGGGCAGGGCTCTGCCAGGGAGGAAGCAGGAGTTCCTCAGTGCAGGCTCTGGGCCACGGAGCAGCTGAGAAGCTGCGAGAGGTGGCCGGACTCATTGTAGCCAAATAAACTGTCCCCAGGACGCTGATGTGTAAATGACGTGGCCATTGACTATGTTTTTTAACATTCTTGTGTAAAGCAGCAAAACATACCTAGAGGGAATTGTAATTTGGTTGTAATTCAGGATTTGGAAATAAATTTATTATTTGTAAAATGTTACTGCCTTTCTGACTGTTCTTTTTCCTTTACTACCCTAAATCACATAATAAAGAGAAGATGGGCAGGACCCCAACCTGACTTTTCTCAGGTGGATCCGGCTGGAACCCTGGCTCATCGTGTTTCTGTTCTCCAGGCAGTGGTGGCCTCTTAGACGAGGGGTCGGCAAGGTGGGGCACAGCCAACAGGGAGGAGAATGGCCCAGGCCACCAGCACCCAGCTCTGTGTGCCAGGCTATTCCTAAGGATGGCGGGTGGCTGGGAAGGGAGGGAAATGAGCAGTGTGTACCCTCTGCCCCTCCTCAGGGGTTGCTGCTCTCTTGTCCAGAATGGCAAAAGTTTTGACTCTGCATGTGTCAGGTTTGTGTATTGATGGAAAATAGTGTAAATTGTTGCTTACTGATTTTCACATAAAAGATGATTGTTAGGCCGGAATCCCTAGTTTTTTGTTAAGTGGCCTCTTAAGTGTGTGGAGGTAACTATTTGGTCCTTTGTATCACTCATGGTCCTTATTTTGTGATTCCCTGGGGTTGGGCTTCTGCCAGGTATGCTGGTTACAAGGTTCGGTGTTGGGGCTGCGTCACCTACAGGCTCGGAGCTAAGAAGCACCTGGATACTAGCCAACGCTCAGCAAGAGCCCTTTGGGGCTGGGCTCACACTGCTGACTTACTTCCATACTCTTCCTCACGCTCTTCCGGGGATTTGAATTTCCATCTGTTATAACTCAAGATAAGTTCAATTTTAAGTCGGTTTTAAGGGTGAGTTTGGAGGTCAGGCTTTACCAGCCAGCACCAGCTATACCTCTACTTCCATTCTTTTTACCTCTAACAGCCTTTATTGGAAATGCAGGTGGAAACTGACTTCTCATGGCTCCAGAGTGAAGAGAGAGCTTCTGGCTGTTTGCCTGGGAAGGCTTCTATCTTGGCTCTGAGTTGAAGGGCTAGCAGAAGTTGTCTACCTGCTCTGTGGAGAGAAGTAAGCTGGGTATGTAATGTATTTATTGACTTGGGCTCAGGATGCAACAGAACAGGAAAAAGGACAGGTTCCAACTGTGGCTTTATTACTAACAGGCTATGACCGGTCACAGATACCTTCAGGTCCTTTAGATGCCACAGAGGTTATGGCAACCATGAGTCCCATTCCACCTTCTAGTTTAAAAGCAAGAACACCTGGCAAAGACACTTGGCACACATGGGCACTGCAAGAAGAGTGGGAAGGCTCCTTTTTCCAGGGGTGCTACCTGCATCTGTTTTGGTTTTGGGACTTCTGCCTAAGTCTGCCCCTGTCTCTCCACACTTTTCTCTTTAATTGGCAGACCATTTCCATTCAGATCCACCCGTAAGTTCCTTTTAGCTTTAACACTAATTCTTACCATCATTTCCTCAGATAATAACCCATGCTTTTTTTTAGAGGTACAAAAACATTTCTGTGACAGCACCCCTGACGCGGATTCCTGGGACTGGATTTCAGACTTCTGGGTGTGAGGGAACAGTGAGGCCACTGATCTGGACATCTTTACAGGGGTCCCCTGCCTTGTACTCAGTCGTGGGCATCTACCCTTTAATGCCTTGTCGGCAGTAACAGGGCTATGCCAGGGAGGAAGCAGGAGTTCCTCAGTGCAGTCTCAGGGCCACAGAACAGCTGAGAAACTGCAGAAGGTGGCCGGACTCATTGTAGCCAAATAAACTGTCCCCAGGACACTGATGTATAAATGACTTGGCCATTGACTGTGTTTTTGAACATTCTTGTGTTAAACACTCATTCTGGGGACCCCTGTCTATGGCAGGGAGTTCCCTCTTCCCTTCGGTAAGGAGGCAGGATGAGGGGGCTGATGTTTGCTGTGGGTTCCTTTGGCTCAGGGGGAGAAGAAGTGTACTCGGGGTGGGTAGAAGAGGATCTGTTACACAGGATTCTGCTGGCCCCAGGTATCAGAATCTGGGGGACATTCTCCCACTGGGTGGCTGAAGCACTTATTTATAATCCTCTTGGCTAGGTCCTCGCTTTACGGTCATTTTTTGGTTATTTTTTTAAGAGCAGTTTTAGGTACGCAGCAAAATTGAGCAGGAGGTACAGAGATTTCCTGTGTATTCTGAGCACACGCACAGCCTCTCCTGTCACCAACGTCCCCCACCAGGGTGGTATATTTGTCACCACAGGTGAACTTATACTTCTTTATCCCCCAAAGCCCACAGTTTACATTAGGAGTCACTCTTGGTGTTGCATTATTCTGTGGGTTGGGACAAACGTGTAATGACATGTCTATTATTAAGTATCATACGGAGACCATTTAAAAAAAAAAAAATCAGCCCTGGCTGGTATGGCTCAGTGGTTGAGTGCTGGCCTGTGAATCAAAGGGCTGCTGGTTTGATTCCTGGTCACTAGGGCACATGCCTGGGTTGCGGACCAGGTCTCCAGTAGGGGGGTGTGCCAGAGGCAGCCACACATTGATGTTTCTCTCCCTCTTTTTCTCCCTACCTTCCCCTCTCTCTAAAAAATAAATAAATAAAGTCTTTAAAAAAATATCAGCTGTTCAAACTACTTTTTAGGAACTAACTTCTTTGGTTATTTCTTAAAGAATTATAGGCAGGCAACACTCAAAGGGCTTCTCTGCCCTTTGTCCTGTCTTTAGAGAAACTGTATTTCTCTAAGTCTAACCACTCAACTCCATCAGGCTTCCTGTCTGAAGGCCAGACAGTTAGGAGACAAAGTGATGTTTTTCTGGCTCTGCTGCCCCTTTGTTCCCCTAACTCGCTGCCTGCTTGGCTCTGGTGTGATTACTCTCCTGGAAGTGAAAGACAACTTGGAAAAAATGTACAGCATTCAAAGTACCCAGATACTGTTACTTTCACCAACATATAGTGTATGAAACCTTTTTGTAAATTATAGACAAAATGCATTCTTTGTAGACTGTACTGGAGATTTTAATGACATTGAGCTTTTGTTTAAATAAATGATCCATAGGCTGGAACTAGGAAGCTATTATTAGTACCAGATACTTGAGTCTTTGTTTTCTCTCGAAAACATGTCCTCATTCTAAGTGAAATGGAGGAAGACAGTCAAAAAGAGCAGAAACAAACGGACAACACCCATCACAACAGAAACACCGGATGTGCCCATCACCCTCGCCTTACACGGCATTTCTGGAATTCGCCTTTCCTGAGTCCTGGCACCCTGTGTTGCTATAAGCAGTGACTTTTCTTCGCTTTTGTTTGGCTGGGGAGGGAGGCAAGAGTATTTAAGAATTGCTACCAACTAGTGGGTTTCTTCCTTTGCTTTTCCTACCCTTCCACCCAGAAATGCAAGCTCTTTCATTTCTTTCTTTTACTTTACCTTTGTAGCTATTTCTCTCAATTTCCTATGGACTAGAAATAGAAATTCTAGACATGTACTCAGTTTAACAAAATCCTACCACAATAAAATAGTTTAGCTGTCCTTGGAGTTTGTTATAATGGAATTTTACTTGTACTGAGCTGGCTGGGGAGAAAAATAAAATTGTTAAAAGGAAGGATACAGTGTGGTGCCCAGGGAAAAAGCAGTCTCTCCCTCCTCCATTTGGAAAAATGCATCACTTGTTTCTCTTCTTTCTTTTGGGCCTCAGGATTACTTCCTTTTTTGAGGTTTGTAGACCTTCTTAAATTCCAGACAGAGATGGAAAGAATAAAAAAGGACCTAATTATTTCTTGTTGGTTTATAAACCAATCCAGAAGCTCACTTTGGGAATTTCAGCTCCCTGTCAGTGTGACAGAGAGCTGTATCTTAGAACCCAGAGAAAGTGGGATGGACACGCCGCTGGGGGCAGAGGTGCCCGCAGGGCGCCAGGAGCTCACAGAGACTTCTGTGCTCGTGTCTTTATTTTAGAATCTGGGCCTGGAGGTGGTCCTATGGTTCCAAGGCTCACTCCACTGTGGGAAGTAGACAAAACCCAAGACAATGTTAGTGTATTGCAAAATAGGCTGGGACCTTGACATGTTCCCGTAAGCGCTGATCCAGGTCAAGAGAGAGGGCTGGGAACTCACTGTCCTCTGAAAAACTTGTATGGAAATGATGCTCAGGGCTAGCAATATGTGGAACCTGAGGGAACAGGGAGGAAGTGACAGTCTTTATTTGAGGAGAAATTAATGAGGTGATTCCTCAAGGACTGGCCTGTGGCCAGGCGGCTCTGTTGCAGTGTGGCTTGCTCTTGGGGTAACATGGAGTCTGCGTGGCAGAACAGGTAGCTGTGGACCCAGGGAATGCAGGGGGCAGGCCGCTCTTTTGGGGTGTCCAGAACACATGGCAGGAGGAAGATGCCTATTCTGCCTGTTCTCCCCTTTGGTCCTCACCATTCCCAAAGGGGACTGGTCAGGGTAAGGGATAGATCTGAGATAGGAGGTATTCGGGTATCAGCCAAGAGTCTTAGAGCAACATGTTGTGTCTGTAGACAAGGGAACAATGATCTCTGGTCCTGAGTCAGTAAGAAAAAGATCTGTTTCCTTGTCTCTATTTGAATTCCTAATCCAGTGATCTCTTCAAAAATACCATCAGGCTGACATTTTTTTGACCTGTGGGATTAAGCCGATATCGTAGTAAGTAGCAGAAGAAAAATGGCAGACATACCTGAACAGTGGGGAATCCCGACAAACTTGGTGACATCCATTCTTTGCCTCATGTCTGGGGTGGTCCCCCTCCAGCCCAAGGTGCCACACAGTTTGCCCCTTTGTGTGACCTCTGTTTTGCCTGGGAGCAGGGCTTTGGTGCACAACCTTGGGTGCCCTGATTTCAGCTTCTTCTCCTCTATCTCGCACTTCAGCTTCTTGTTTTCCTGTTGCAGGTGGACCATTACATTGTGGAGGTGGCTGGGGAGGGAGAGGGAAGGGCTGGTGGGTGGATGCCCCAGCTACTGGTTCCCCACTGGAAAAGACAGATAAAGGCCCCGCAAGAAGGAGGGCCATGGATGTCTGGTTCCTTCCGGGCTAGTGCTTTCACACATGTTCTGTGGAAATGGATGCCTATGTGTGTTCCCTGGAAGAGGCCCAGGCCTGGGGTCAGGGTAGACTCCTGACCCGCTGAGTCATCTCAGCTCTCGCTCTGTGTTCTCATCTTTAGATGGGGACAACTGAGTTTGACAAATGATGGAAGTGTGATTGGAAGAGCCAGAAGGCTGTCACAAACGACTCCGATCACAAGGGCTTGGTTTCTCATGGCTGTGCCTCAGAAACACTCTCACCCAGCTCTGATGCTGACGTCCAAGTTCTTTCACATCCCTTTGCTGAAAGATTGAAAGCATGGGGATCCGGCTCTGTGGAGAGCTTGGGCAAATAACTTATCCCCATTTTACAGACGAGAAAACAGTGGCTGTGATGTGCACAAGGGGGGAAGACACCTCAGCATATCCCCGGGGCTCAACCAATGGCAGCTATTCATGTCAATAGTTATATTTCTCCAAATCAGCGTTGAGGGCGGTGGGGACAGCGGCTCTGGAACCAAACTTCCCGAGTTGGAACGCTGGCTCTGCCACTTACTACTTGTGCAGCCACGGGCAAGTCACTTAGCCTCCGATTTCCTCTTTCCTCCTCCATAAACGGCAACTGTAACTGCCCCTAATTGGTGAGGTCTCGTGAAGATTAAATAAGTTAATACCAGTAGAGTACTTAGAACAGTACCTCACATGTGTACGTAATAAATATTAGTGGAGCTGTTGTTATTATTCAAAGATAGTTTTCCTTCAAAAAGGCTCAAGCCCACTCAAGAATGAAACAGAACTACTTGGAATGTGGCACAATGTAAGAAAAAGCCTGATACCCTCTGATTCTGACAATTTTTCTTTTAGTTGAACCCTTTCAGAAAGTATTTTTGTCTTAGTAAAAACTTTCATTTTTTTTTCCCTAAAGAAAATAAAGTAATTCATTCTCAGTTTCTTCTCTGGCCATATGCTTTGCCCTCCTGTTCTCCATAAACCCGGCCAGAGTTGAAGACACGCCTTCCTTTGTCGACCCTCAAGTCGTCACCACATTCTGCATGTCCTGGGCTTGCAGGTGGGCTTGTCCTTGGCAAGCCCCCCTTCCCTGGCTCGCTGCCCCTCTCACCACTGGTCCACTCCTGTCAGCATCCCCAATGGCCTCTCTGTTCCTACCTCCCTATTCCAACGATCTTATCCTTGCTTTCAACTCAGCCACCCCTCTTTAGGTCAAAGCCGGGAGCTGAGCTTTCCACGGGTGGGTTCCAGGTGTGCTGAGATACCTCCACCCTTGGTGCAGGGGATGGAGCAGCTGCTGGTCGGCCAACTTTGTCAAAGCAACCCCATCCCAGACCCTCCTGGTGTGCCAAACAAATGTGGTCATTTTCTAAGTGTTCTCTGACGGAAGATTGGGAAGCACTGCCCTAGAGCTTGTCATTACCTATTGCTATACCGCCTTTGCCATCTCAGTTTTAGACGTCTGTATCTTTGCCTCTACTCCTGAACTTCCAACAGTCCTCTCCTACCACATTCTCTGCTGACCCAGCCTTGACCATGAAAAGGAAGCAAGGCCACAGGGAAGGGTAGAGCAACAAATGGAAGGAACGAGGTCCCCAAATGACCACGTGGGACAGAGGAACCCCACCAACCTGGACCTCTCACGTCCTAGAGGTGTTCCTTCATTTGGAAATCTCTGTTAGAGCAGCTTGGCCCCTACCCTAACTAATACAGTCTGCTTTCAGTGCCCATGACCTGTGAGAATCACAGAAAATGACAGTGGGAGGGCACATGGAGACTATCGACGCCCTTGCATTGTTGTTGAGGGAGCTACGGCCCAAAGGGGTGAGGTGATGTGCCCAGGGTCACACAGATGCGGATAGGACTCGGAGTTTTTCCAAAGTCCCAGGCCTTTCCTGGGGTATTCGCATGCATCCAGTGATAAAGCCACCCTGGCTTCTGCTTGATCCTTTTCCTCGGGGCCCAAGCAACAGCAGAGTGTGTGGGATGACTTACTCCTTTTCACCAGTCAGCTTGGCGATATATTTGACCTGTTCACGGAGCTTGTTTCCTAATTGCTCATTGGCGATCCTGTAATAAAATCCACAAGAGAAAAACATTTCCCAGACCCCTGTGAACAAGACCATGGGCAGGCTAGATGGGACAATGGGTGTTCTCAGCAGGGCTTCTGCTGGGCCCCGGGCCTCTGCTCATCACCCAGTCCCCAGAGCTGGAGCTCCTGCCACCTGGAGATTAAGAGGACTCTCCATACTCAACTCCTGTGCAAATTCCCTGTGATCCCAGGTGAGTTCCAGGGATCCAGGCAGTGAAAGTGGACACCAAGTTGGGAGAGTTACTCCATTTCTAAGTCAGCTGGGCTTTCTAGCTCATCCCCAGCTCCTGGGTGTGTGTTGGGACGGGATCAGCTTCCCAGAAGGGCTCTGTGTGATACTGTTCTTTGGCATATGTATGGGTCCCTCAGTTCAGCCCAGGCCTTGGGACCCTGCTTTACTTTTTTCTTCCTTACTTACTTCTGATCTTTGGCCCATTGCTCCATGTTGGTCATGATCTGATCGTTCTCTTGGCGCAGCCTACAGGGGTCTTTGGGCGCAGACCGCGGGGGCAAGCAACAGATCTTTGGTACAAGAAGAAAATGGGACAGTAAGGGGTGGGAGCACAGGCCTGTCCGCTCCCTACTCCTGATTCAGGCCTCTTCTCTCCTCCTGGGGGAAGAAACGCTGACTCTGCCGTCCAGCTCCGAGGCCAGAGTTGGAATGGCCACAGCAGGACTCCGCCTCCAGCAGGGCAGACCGCACCCACACAAGGGGACACCTCTGAGCAGGTGGTGTTTATGTAGAGACAGAGTAGATTTGTATATTTACAGTAACGATTTTCAGGCCAAAGACATTAATGAAAGCGGCTTGTTCTAAAAGAGCAGCATGTTAAGTCAATTTTTCAATATGGGAGAAAAAATATCTTGAGGAGGAGATGCCTTTTTTCTAACTAGAGCCAAGGTCCTGTGGCCACTCCAGGGTATCCTGCGGCTTCCTGCCATGAATTTCATGGCTCAGGGTGCTGGGCATGGGGCACACCTGAGATCTCTTAGCTGACTCCACAGCACGGTAGATAAAAGTGCTAGGATGGGCTTGGAGGGGAACTGCCTAGTGGATTATCTGAGTCAGGGGTGACTGGTGTGCCTGGCAGGAAGATGTCTGGGTTCAGACAGGTGCTGTGGGCCTAGAGCACCTAGACTCTGCCTTGTATGGAATAGAACAGGTGTTCTTTCCTTGTTCCCAGTCACTTCTACCCCCACCAAGTGCTACCTGGCATCCAGACGGTTGTGCGATGTGCTGGCAGGGACTGGGAAGGAGTGACCAGAAGCCGAGGAGTACCTACCTCCTTCTCGTCAGCAAGGAGGCTCTCTTTCAGGGTGGCCATTTCCTCCTGGAAGGCCCGAAGCTGCTCTTCTTTAGCGGCCAGCATCTTGAGGTCGCTCTGGTGCTGCTTCTGCCACTGCAGCACTTGGCAGCTCATTTCCTCCAGCTTCTTGTCGAAGGCATGCACCTGCTCAGAAGGGCAAAGTGAGGAGGAGACCCCAGCTTGCTGCCCTGACTCCAGAGGACCCGTAATGAGGCCAGAGGGCTCTTGCTCATCTTTCAGATTCGTTAGGGGGTATTTTCTTTCCAGTGGCCAGCAGAGGGCACCCATGCTCTGAGTGTTGCTTCTATGCTTTAAGCTCATAGGGCCAAACCAGGGGAGGGAACCCATTAGCCAAAGGGAATGATTCAATGCTAAATAGTTCTGGGTGCTAGAGATGACCTTGGGGACCTCGAGCAGGAAGACAGCCTGAGCCCCCAGACTGCCCCTCACCTCTAGCTCACTCTCCTGATGGAAGCCTTGAAGTTTTTTTAATTCCATGTTGAGTTTTTTCATCCTCTCCTCATAAGCCATGATTTCATCTTCCAGCTGAACTTTCCTATCTTGGGCCTGTGTCAAGTTTCGGTGCAGGCTCTTGGTCTCTGATATCGTATGATTGAGCTTTAGGTAAAGACAAAGGGGATGAGAGTGGCTGCCAGAGCCCTTTGGCCTTCTCTGCTGAGCTTTGAATGGAGAAGGGTTCTGATCCCTCCCTGTCCTCTGCTCAGGGTGGCACAGACACCCTGTCACTTTCCTAGTGTCCCGGAGACAGTGGGAAATGACAGTGGTTGGTTTTCTGCCTCCTCATGTTCCCTCCCCTATTTCTTCTCTTTTCAGTCCTATAAACTGGTCTGCCAGGAATGATCAGCACAGGGCATGAATTTCGCGGATAATCCAGGCTCTGTGAAAACCTTCCCCCCGGGATCACCCATGGGCAGAAAGATCTGTTACATCTGGCCCCCACCTTTGCTCCCCCCAGCCCTCCCCAAAACCCTCACTAAGAAGCAGGCCTTCTCTGGACAGACACCCCAGCTCATGCAAGGGTTTGACAGCCAGTAGTGTAGGAAATGGGCTCCTATGCCTTTCCCCCTGCTAGGACATTTATTTCTTTGTCCCCAAACAACCCTGGACACAGGACGTGGCCAACCTTTTCGAGAGCTTGTGTCAGGTCATCTTGGCAGGCGGCTGACTTCCGGGATAATTCCTCATAGGCTTCTTTACTGACCATGGTCTGGAGACAGTGCTTCTCTTTCTGTATAGCCTTGTCTAGCTGGGCCTGCAGACTCGCTAAGGCATTCTTCTGAATGGCAACCTTCAGGGAGGGGGAATATCATGGCCAAGGTTCATGGCTATAGAGGCATTCTGAGTGTCTACAGGAAATGCACAAGCACTGGGCTCTCCTTCCCGTATGTGATAATGCTCCACCTCCACCTCATTGTTGTAAAAGGAAGAGCTGCCTCTCCAGGCTCTTCTGCTGTCCTCTCCCCATGGTTCAACCTTCTAGTTCCATCTCCCCCAAATACAAGGGCTACTGGCAGTACTGGGTCATCATGTGTCAAGTACATGGGAAGTCCCTTTTGCAGACTCTGCAGCCTTTGATAAAGATCTGGAATCCAATTCTAGGGTGGGAGACGTGCTACAGTATCTCAGTTGTGTGCATTATACCTCACTTTGTTCTTGACATTATCCATTGGATTTGTTGCACCATGAAAGATGGGCTGTGCATGCTTTCTTCATCGCTCTATACCACCACTTACAGCTCAGGGCATGGCACATAATAGGCGCTCAGTTAATATTAAATAATGGTTTTGGACCGAGGGAGATATTGCATTGGGCAATGTTTGGAATCAGAGCTGCATTAAACCCATAGTTTTGGCAGAAGTGTATTTAAAAACTAAAAGCCTGTGTCTTAAACTTAGTGATGAGTATTCATGCTAGTTAAAAGGAATTGAGATGTGGAGTTAGAGAATCTGTGTTGAGGTCCTGGTTCTGTCATTTACTTAATCTCTCGAGTCTCAGTTTATTCTGCAAATCGGGATACTTTCAACTGCTTCATAGAGATTTTGTGACGATCAAATGAGACACGAAAAGGGCTTTTTAAGTATAAATACTACATAGCTGTGAGTTGTGATCATGAAGGTGCTAAGGAATCAGTCATCTTATTATATACTTTAGGTACAGGACGGAGATCTAAACCTAAGTCTGGAAGCAGGAGGAAGACCTTAGAAATTCATATACTTTACTTCTGTTTTTTTGGGTATTCTAGTACACCTGCATTCTCCATGTGGCCACATGCATAGTAACATACTCTTTTGGGTTTTCTTCAGTAACTGCTCAGTGCTTGAAGTTTATTATTATTTTTTTTTCAAATGGTATTTTGAGTAACTTTGACTTTAGGGATTAGTATATTTCTGTCCTTGTGTTAACATGTCTGGGGTGAGGGTGAAACTAATCCTAAAGATGGAATAAGTTGGTCTTCTGGGAATAAAAGTACACTGTTCCTGGGGACTTCTGAAAAAATGGAGTCACCAGGTCTGCCCAGTAAACCAGGGGAGTCATGGGAAATATCACAGTTTATCATAGGTGCTTGATAATTGATGGCTGAATCGAGAAATGTCATCATAGAAGTGAGATACTGAAAATAAGGGTGGCAAAAAAATCACAATGATGCTAGAAACTAAAATGGAAGGTTTATCTTCAATTTCTCAAACATGAGTGGTTTATCTTGGAAAAAGATACTAAAAACACAGAATCAAGGAGTTTTAATAAAAGTTCTCATAAAGGTTTATTCTCTCCTTGCCAAAGGCATTAGACCCAGGTGGTTTTACAGGTGAGTTACACTAAATCACTCTTGATTCCTTACTTTCTCTCACATTCATCCTGTCAGTCTGACCAATTCTACTGCCAAAGCACATCCTGAATTTGCTATCTTCTGTCTTCGGTGACACAACTCTAGCTTAGATAGCAATAGCCCCCCCACTGGTTTCCTCACTTCCACACCTATCCCCTCCCCAATCCATTTCGACACATCAAAGTTCTATTTTGAAAACTTAAGTCAGATCAAATCACCTCCCCTGCCCCTTGAGGAAATTTCATCAATATCTATTGATTGTTCTTAGAATAAAACACAAAGTTTCTTAACAGTCCACAGTGTCTGCCCCCCACATATTTCTCTGCTCTCATCTATACCAGTATCCTCCTTGATTGCTACACTGTAGTCATATTGGCCTTAGTTCATTTCTTATAATGTTCCAAGGAGTGACTGAAAGAGGGTACATGATACGCAGTGAGCATTTATACTTGGAATACAAGGGTGGGCCAAAGTTAGGATCAATTAATTTTATTCACCACATTACAGGGAATCCTACTAAAACATGAATTCCGTTAATATTAAAAGGAAGAAAAGGAAGCTACTGTTGAACACTACACTGTAAGTACTGCCTAGTGCAATGAGGCAAGAAAAATAAAATATTATAAAGGTTTAGAAAATTGTTGCTTGCAAATGATTTTAGCATAACTTAGAAAATCCATGAGAAGCAACTAAAAAACTATTACTTCTTATAAATGGGTTTGGTAAAATGTCCAAATACAGAATAAATATATAAAAATAAATTAGCTTTATTATTATTAACAGTAATTAATTACAAAATGTGGTAGAAAACATCCTAGAATCAAGGAGGTGAAAAGAATCTCTATATTGCCTTGACTTCAGATGGGAAATTTTTAAATTGAGATATAGAATATTGATGAAATAAAAATATGTTTTAGAATGCAAAACTAAGCCTCTTTCTAATGGCTATTTCAATTGATTCATAATTGGGGCACGCTTTTATTTTTAAAAAGATTTTATTTATTTATATTTAGAGAGAGGGGAAGAGAGGGAGAAAGAAAGAAAGTGAGAGATACATCAATGTGTGGTTACCTGTCGTGTGCCCCTACTGGGGACCTGGCCAGCAACCCAGGCCTGTGCCCTGACTGGGCATTGAATTGGTGACCCTTTGGTTTGTAGGCTGGCACTCAATCTACTGAGCCACACTAGCCAGGGTGGGGCATGCTTTTAAAAAGTGGAACATGTTTACACACACACAAAACCCTCTAGCCTCCTGATTCCCACCAAAGGAATTCTGAACTTAGTGCTTTTACTTCCACATTTACATGACTAACTTTCTTTTGGCAAATGTATTGACAAACCTGTATTAAATACTTAAGTAGTATCCCCTTTTTGCAGAGAGGTTCCTCGAGGATTTGAGTGACTTAGAAGTCAACTCTGGATCATAGCAGAGATTTATATCTCTGGAGGAAAAAACTCCAGAGTCATGAGTTTCTCTGCTATCTAATATGGTAGACACTAGTCACATGAGGCTATTTACATTTAAATAAAACTAAAATTAGTTAGTATTAAAATTATAAATTCAGTTCCTGAGTTATACTAAGCCATATTCCAAGCACTCAATAGCCACACATGGCTGGTGAATATAGTATTAGACAGCTGTAATTTAGAATTTTCTGCAATGGCAGAAAATTCTACTGGGCAGAGCTATTCGTAGAATAGTCATAGCATTTTAAGATTAACTTTTTTCTTTTTTATATTGTGAAGGAATCAGAGCTGCTGGTTTCTCATTTGTAACCCAAGAGACCACCTATTAAGATGCTCAATTTGTTTCTTGCCCGGAAAGATGGAATGCATTCAGCTGGGGAAAACATTGCCATTCATGATGAGGGGGAAAGAGGTTTGATGCTAGACTCAGATGAACCATGTTTGAATGCTGGTCCATCCCATCTTTACTAATTAATCACTTTAAACCATAGCCTTTCTTTTTTTGGTAAACTGAAGATCATAGTAATGCATATCTTCTTGGGAGTAAAGCAGACGGAAGGCATGTAAAGGACTTACGCAGACAATTAATAAATGATGACTGAACCGAAGCGCAGTGCCTCGCACATGTTAGATGCATTTACTCCTTTCTGTCATCTTTATTGTGTAATGAAATTTATGTGTAATGAAAAACAGCCATCTCCCCTTCCACCCCGTTTTTGTGCTTTGGTGTTATTTTTGGAAGTGTTCCTCAGCAAATTGCCCCAGACAATGGATTCACTTAACTCTGGTCTCAGATGCAACACTGGAGGACTTGATGTCAAAGCCCAAATAGCCTGGGAGTTCCACCAGATGTTTTTAAATAAGACCTTCCACATGTGGATGGAACAGTTCTTTGGTTGAGCAACTGGATGCTTAAGGGGCACCCTACTTGAAGGAGGGGAGAAGAGCTGCAGGTATCACAGGGTGCACATGGGCCCAGCATTTCTCTGGTGGGGGAAGAGCTAGGAGCCGATTTCAGGTCAAGGGACACAGGGTTCAAGTTTCTCACCCCCTTGGGGTTTCTGTCTACTCACCTCATTATTGGGGTTTCTGTCTACTCACCTCATTATTCAGCTCTTGGATGACTTTCTGGGAGGAGTTGTATTTGCTGACAGAGGTCTCTAGTTGTGTAGAATGCTGCTTAAACTGTAGTTTGAGATTCTCATTTTCTTCCTCCAAATTTCGCAACGTTTCTTTTGACTGTTCCCCAATTAAAGAACAAAGACCAGAAAAGAGCTGTTACCCTCAGACTCCTTTAGAACCCCATTCCTCCTTCTCTCACCCACAGCTCCACTCTGCACCCTATGTTATCTCAGGCCTTTTCTCTCCTCCCCACTTGCCTTTCCCACCTTCCCTCCCTCCTCTCCTGAGGTCTGAGCACCCACAGCCTCTGTATCCCACCACGGTCTGCCTGGGCTCGTGTCTGGTCCTGTATTTATGACTCCGACTCTTTCAAGATTCTCCTTCTCACCGTCTTTTCTTTCTTTCTTTCTTCCAGTTGCAATGACTCGATCTCTACCTCCATCAGCTTTTCCTTTTCTTTGCTCTTTTTCAACTGTTCCCGTTTCTCCTCCACTAACCTTGTTAATTCCTTAAGCTCCTCCTCTTGAGTGCTTTTGATGGAGGTTAGCTCCCTGTGCTGAGAAAATAAAGGCTGACCTGAAAGACCTTGGACTGTATATTTTTGGAGAAACAAACAAACTGAGACAATGGTACCCAGGGAATAGCTGAAAAAAATATGAGAGCAACTCCTTGGTTATTTAGCATGTGTGATAAAAAAAGTTCCCTCTCATGTTCAGCAACATTGCCCCAGATTTTTAATTTGTTCATTTAGATATACCAATTTATTTTATTTACAGATCCAGTTTCAACAGCATCAACCTTCTCTCCCACTTACCACATCTTTCCACACAAAACCCTTTTGGATAAAGTTTAAAAAATCTGAGAAAAACATAAAGAGAATAATTCAGAGGTCAAAGACTTTAATTGACAAGGATAGCTTTTGAATCCCAGAAAAAACCACATTGTCCTTTGACTCTTTTTAAGCTTAGCCCTTGAAATGCTTATTATTGGCCATACGAACTGGAGCTAACTGGCTGGCTTTGCATTCAAACACAAATTCCGGACAATCTGTTCACCATGGATTGGTGGCGGCATCTTTTCAAATAAAGATGAATTTATTTAACATTAAGCAGAGCCAATGCTTGAGCTGGCTGCCTGTTTGCCCTTCATACCTGGTGTTGAAGGAGTTTGATATGATCTAGCAATTCATTCATTTTCATATCCTGCTCATTCACTGTCTTCTGAAGCTGCTTCTTTTCCTTGTCTGAATTTTCAAGCTTCTTCAGGACCTCAGAGAGTTCTGATGTCAGCTCCTCTATCCGTTTCCTAAAGCCAAATGGCAACAATAGGAGGATGCACTTCGGTGTCTGTGTTGGGGGACTGTGACCTAGCCTCATGGGGCTTGCTATCCCAGTCCTGGGCAGCTGCCCACAATGTCCTGACTGGCTCATAGGGAGAAAGGCTCTCTCTGGAGGTGAACCTGTGGTACCTGTTGGGTGTAAGTTCCTCTTCAGCCATCAAGGAATCCTTCTGCAGCTTCTGAAGTGCTCTCTGAAGCTCCTGGATGGTGTCTTCCTTCTGCTTCTCTGAGAGAATGCAGCTTTGCAGTTTCCTCTGGGAATCCTCCAGGTCATTCTTTGCATTGCTGGCCTCTTCTTTGTACTGGGCTGCTTGCTGAGCTGCAGAAGACAGGAGACAAGCTAGGGGCATGACCATGCGAGAAGAGAGTATGTGTGAAGATCAGATTCTTGAATCAGGCCAGTTAAAAAGTCTGTTCCTTTATTGTGTGACCTGCTTCAATCTCCAATCTGTCCTCATTTCTCTCCATTTCATTATCACTCCTAAGGAGCTCTGTTAAATTATCTGTCTTCAACTACCCTCCAGCTGCGGTCTCATTCTCGGCTAAAATTAAACTAATTGATAGCAATTGCTCAGTGTACCTTATGCAACTCATCCAGTCATTAGGGGCACATCCTGGCCCTTCTGGAGTTTAGAGTCTAGTGAGGGAGCCATACTGGCCCACTTGATATAGAGACCATGGTGATGTTAAACTTGCAATGACAGTCAACTCAGGAAGCAAGATCAATGTAAGAACAGTTGGGGTTGGACTCACAGAGGAAAAGGGGCTGAGCTATACCTTAGAAGGGAATTCCAGATGGGGGACAGTTAGAGTAAACGCCTGATAAGGGAATAGAGAAGTCATGTGACAAGAAGGGAAGAGATGGGTTTAATTGGAAAGGAATCTGGATAGGAGTTCTGGGAGACAGCGCTAAGCGAGTGCATGGACTAGAGGATTATTTGAAGGACTATGAATGCATTAAAGGTTTGGAGTTGATTTTGTGGGCTCTTGAGCAGGGACCTGACATAAAGGAAAGAACACTTTAGGGACATCTGAATAAATTAGAATGGAGAAAGAATTCCTACAGTATCATTTAGCCTGTGTCCTTGCCTTCACTGGGTACAAGGGAAAAACACCCAAAAGAGTTGCTTATTGGAGTTTCTCTAAGCCCACTGTATCCCCACATCCAGTGGTTTCTACCTTCATTTCTACTTTAAACTTTGCTCTCCTCTCCATTTTTTTCCAGCCTGAAATACTGGAAGAAAGGTGGTGTCACTACGCAAATAATTATAGACCTTGTAAGAAGGGAGAAAAAAATTTTGATGCAGGGAAGAGGACAGGTTCAGTTTTGGGGATGTTGAGTTAGAGGGGAAGGTGGGTCGCCCAGGTGCAGGTAGTCTCTGAAGCCAAGACTGACCACAGGCATGAAATCAGGACCAGGGCTCCAGGTTTTAGAGTCATCTGCAGAGAAATGCAGCTCCGAGGAGGGGAGGTGCTCACTAAAGAATGAATGTAGATGGAGATGAGAAAAGCAGGAGGGCAGAGCCTTAGGGATGAATGATTCTATCAGAACAGAGGGAAACAATGATGATATCTCTGGGACTTGTGTCTCCAAAGCTAAGAAACACTTGTTGAGGTATGGAGGCTGACAGCATAGATACACAGAGTCAGAGGAGGGTAAGGAAGGGAGCCAAGCTTTAGAACTTTTGCTTTCCCCCCAAATTTCTATACAATGTAAAATAAAGAGAAAGATGAAATGTTGCACGAGCTAGAGAAGAAACTGACACAGGTTCAGACAACCCTCCCAAAACAGAGATGGAGTAGGAGAAGCAGCAGCTAATGACAACAGAACTTGAAACTGTCCAGTTCAGCGGTTCCTGGCATACTCACGAAGGTGAGCAACCATCACCAATATGTAATTCCAGAACACTTTCATTGCCCCATGTCCAGGGCAAGAAGTTGTTGGTGACCTCCAAGAAAGCAGTGTTAGCAGAAGAACAAGGATACAACCCATAGTGTAAGCTGTGCAGTAGAGAATTTTTGGAGGGAATAAAAAAAAAGAGTGTCAAAAACCAGGGAAGGGAGAGAGAAAATGTGTGACAAAGGTTCTGCAGAAGATGGGGAGGAGTGTGGTGCAAATAAACAAAGCACAGGCCCCTGTCCTCCCCGTGGCAGAGAAGGGGGAGGATTTCTGTTGGAACTGCTGAGGGAACAGTGGGCAGTTCACTTTCCCAAACTGAGCATCTGCTATGTGGTGAAGGTTCCAGAGAGATGGTGAGGTTGAGGGTGAGTGGAGGAGTACAAGAGGTGGTTGTAGCTGCTGAGATGTGAGATGAGATCATGGGAAGATTTGGACAAAGTGAGGAGGTGGAGGGGGCGGCTGTGTACAGAGAGAAAAGGGCTGCTCCAGCCCCATGTGTCGGAAGTGTGGTGGGGACAGTGCTTGCCAGGCCCTCACCAGCCAGCTTCTGCTGCTGTTGGGCATCTTCGAGATGGTCCTTCAGCTTCTGGATCTCAGTGCGCAGGGCCTCACACTCCTCCTTGCTCTTATCCTGATTCGCCTCCTGGATGGCGATTTCAAGTTCTGTTGTGATTAGCTGCTGCTTCTCCCACTCCATCTCTTTTTTCAGGAGGGTTGTCTGAACCTGTGTCAGTTCCTTCTCTAGCTCGTGCAGCATTTCATCTTTCTCTTGGAGGAGCTGAGGAAAGCAAAGTGTTAATGCTAATAAAGGCCAGAACAGAGGCAGGGCAGTCAGCCAGAGATTATTCTGAACCTTCTCACAGCCACTGTCTTCTCTTGCCTGGATATTGCAATAGCCTCCTACGTTAGCTCCTGCTTCACCTCAGCCTGTTCTCACTGCAGCAGCCCGAGGGGGCCTCTAAAATGGCAAGACAAATCTTGTATACCTCTGCTCAAAACCCTCCGCTGGCTCCACCTCACTTAGAGAAAGGCCTCCCAGGGTGCTCGTGATCTGATCCTTGGCTACCCCATCCCTCTCTGCTTCAGCTGGTCTCCTGGAACACCCCATGTGAACTCCCACTATAGGGCTTTTGTACTTGCTATTCCCTCTGCCTGGAATATTCTTCCTCAAGACCTCTGCCTGGGTAGCTCCCTTACTTCAAATCTCTTTCCAAATGTCACCTTGTCAAAGAGGCCTTCCCTGACCAACCTGTGTCAAACAGCCACGAAGCTATCTTAGGAATTTATCAGTATCTGACATTGTACGACATATTCTGTTATTCATTATCTGTCTGCCCACACTAGAATATAGGCTCTGTAAGAGTAGGGATATTGCATGTTTTATTATATTCTCTTAAAAATTAAATTTATTGGGGTGACACTGGTTGATAAAATTTTATAAGTTTCAGGTGTACAATTCTATGATATTCGTAGTGACTAGAACAGTGCTTGGCATATCTCAGGAGCTCAAAAATATTTGTGGGATGAATATATGAATGACTCAGAGCTGTTTATCCAAACCCCTTGCTTCGTGTTGACATCTTCTCCAACCACCTCTATTCTGACTGATGGATCACCTCTGTACCTTGAAACAGGAGGTGGGAATGACCAGTCAGTCAAGAACTGGATAATTTCTACTAGCTCTGATGGAAAATTTCGAGTTGGATAGCACTGACTACAAAAGCTTGCATTAGTTTCACAACTTTCCCGTCCTTGGTTTCATTCCTAGGCTTTTCTAGGACCTTCATTTATGTTGGCAACTATAGATCTTCTAGTACATAGCTCCATTAATACTTTCAAACTGCCTGATCTACATATTCTAAGATATTTGTAATTTTAAAGTTGAAATTCACTTCATATTCTTCATGAGGCTACACATAATTATTTTTAAACATGTAATTAATTTATTTTTAGAGAGGTGGCAGGGAAGGAGAAAGAGAAGGAAAGAAACATCAATATGCAGTTGCCTCTCATATGCTCCCTACTGGGGACCTGGCCTGCAGGCCAGGCATGTGCCCTGACTGGGAATCAAACCAGCAACCCTTAGGCTCACAGGCTGGCACTCAATCCACTGAGCCACACCAGCCAGGGCTACACATTATTTTGTAGTATCTTTCTACTATCAACCATGAACAAAAGCATAAGGGAACAACATGAGTGTGTTCCAACTCTCTACCTTGCAGGGCTGGGGAAAAAACCTCTTCTAGAGTCAATATATCTATTAAGGACCCTGGATTGGGCTATTTTATTTATTTATTATGTGCTATGAGAACTACCAAAGAGATTAAGTACTCAGAATCGTCTGTGGGCCTCTAGAACCCACAGTCCTGTTGCACATATGTTGATGCTCTTCACATAGTTGAAGCTCCAGATAGTTGAAGCTATCACAGTGGGTGCAGAACTGCTGAACCTGCTCCATCTGGCCAAGGCTGGGCCTCACACCTGCCTTATTGGCAGTTCCAACTAGAGAGCACCTGGTCTTACTGCCTTACCGCGTCTTTCTTCAAACCCAGCTTTTGGGTCTCAGTTAACTGCATCTGCAGCTCCTGCAGCCGGTGCTGCAGGATCATGACCTCCTTGTCCTTCCTCTCCAAATGGGCAGATGTCTCCTCCCGCAGCCCGTGCAGGTCCAGCTCCAGCTTCATCATTTCTACAGTGGCATGACACAGAGTACTCCTGCTTAGAGGCAGGTTCCAACTTCCTTCTGGATCCCTGCCCCTCCATGCCACAACCACCAGCCCACCGTGTACCCTTCATGATGTTTTTCTTTTGTTCTGACACAGCCTCGAGCTCCATGCGCAAGTCCTTCACGAGGTTCTGGTATTCCTCCACATGCAGGCACTGGCTGTCCTTCTGGTCCTGTAGGTGCTTCAAGATCTGGGCACACAGAAGGAGAGCAGGGCAGGGTGAGAACAAGGGGGAAGAATGCCTTCCAAAATTCTGAATGTCCAGAACAGGCAAATCCGTGGGGTGCAAAGTTGACTAGTGGTTGCCAGGGGTGGCAGTGGGGCATGGGGGAATCGGGAGTGACTCCTCATGGGTACAGGTTTCTTTTTGGAGTGATGAAAATGTTCTGGAATTAGTGGTGATGTTGCCCAACTCTGTGAATATACTAAAAGCCACTGATTGCACACTGTAAATGGGATATTTTATGGTCTGTCAATTACATAGCCATTAAAAAAATTAAAAAAGGGATATGGCAGACTTCTCACACTCACATTGAATGTGCACAATAGAAGCCACTTCTTCTTCCTTGCAACAATCAGTGTCACTGATGGAGTGCCTACTGTGTGCCAGGGACTGTCCTAAGTGCTGCAAACAGTGCAGACATAAATCCTTGCCCCCATGGAGCTGACCTTCTGGTAGGGTGAGACAGACAAAGAGCATATAAGTAGTGACTTATACAGTAGAAAACGTTAAAAATTGATAATTGCTGTGGAAGAAACAGAACAGTAAGAGGGGAGTGGAGCTGATGGGGCAGGGGCAGGGGCAGGTATGTGGGGTTGCAATATTAAATGGGATGGATCAGTTGGCCTCCCTGAGAAGGTGGCCTCTATGCAGGGACTTGCTGGAGGCATCTGAGGGAAGAGCTTTGTAGCCAGCGACCAGGCGCCCGAGAGGGAATGTGGAGGAGACCGTGTGGTTACAGTGGAGCAAGTAAAGAGGAGAGTAGCAGAAGATGAGGTGAGGAAGTTGGGTCGGTCATGGCTTGTAGTCCCTTGGCAAGAACTTTGGCTTCTACCCTGAAGGAGAGAGAAATGGGCTGTAACCAAGAGAAGGCAGGAGCATGAATCCATGCCTAAGGAGGAGCAATTAGGTGTATGGGCATCAAGGGAGGCTGGGAGGAGCTAGTTATGTGATTTCAGTGCTGACGGTGAGTGTGGCATGAAGATGGGACAGCTGGAGAAATGCAGGGCAGTCTCCACATGACTCAGGTGGGCACTACAGGGACTCAAAGTCCCAGTATATGCCAGGCCAGCGGAGCAGGGAGAGGGCTGCTGGTATTAACTAAGGTGTAAATGGTTCCATTCCTAATAGAATCTAACATGAATCTATCATACTAACATGAAGGCTTTGGATAGGATACACAAAAATGGCTGGGGAAGGTATATTCTGTTTCTTGGGAAAGTCTGTATCACTTTTTTAAAATAGAGTGTCAAAAGAGGAATTAGTGTTTAGTGGATATGGTTTTAGTTTTACAAGATGAAAAAGTTCTAGAAATTTGTCACACATCTATGTTAATACAGTTAACATGGATGAGCTATACACTTAAAAGTGGTTAAGATGGTAAATTTAATGTTGTGTTTTTTTAAACCACTTTAAAAATGAAATAGTAAGAAAGAAATAAAGACATTTTTCAGACAAAAATGAAAAAGGAGTGTTATGAGATCTTGCTGTAGGTAGGATGTGAATAACATGGAACTGACCTTTAAAATAAATATTGACAGATGTCCACGGAGGAAACTCCAAAGTTCAATATTGATCCCTCATTCATTCAAACTTTCTGGGATCAGAAAGACTTTGCTCCTCTGCCAGAGAACCCCTTGGAGAGCTATAGGTGCTGTTTGCTCTCTCTGCTACCCCTGTTGCTCCTACTTCACCATCAGCAGGCCGCCCTCACATGCCCACGGCATGGCCTCATGTGGCCAGCTTTGCCTTGTACCTCAAGTTCAGGCATGACTCACCTAGGAGAGGACCTAATCTCGTCTTGACTACTGGTTGGTCAAATCTTGCTATTTGTTTACATGGCTTAAATGCTTATACAGTATGAGAATCTACTTTTGAGATGCCTTTAAATTTTGATAACATCAGGTTTTAAAAAAAGTGAATGAATTTGAATTAATAATCTTCCCTAAATTTGCTACTTTTCAACTCCAGCCAGAAACTAGAAGGCTGGAATGGTCCTTCTGAATCCAGCAAGCCAAAAGGAGTCTCTATCTTGTGTAGGTGCACTGTTGGAACTGCGTAAAGGGACAGGAGCAATTCCAAAATTCAATTCCAAAATCCAGTGCTGGTGGACACACTTGTTGGGACTTGGATACATTACATATACAGTATCCATGGAGCAGGGCCAACCAAGACTACACAGAGATAAAAGATAACATAAATATTAAAAATAAGCAGGAAAACCCAGAATCAAACTCAAATTGGATGACCCACCAGGCACAAATAAGCAAAAGTTTTCCCACCTTTTTGATGTCTTCACAATCTTCTGAGGAGCTAGGAGGATGTCGGTGGGTGGCTGTATAAGAAGCAAAGTCTGCTTGTAATTTTATCAAAGCCTCTTCACGCTCTAGAACCTGCAATTGAACACAGGTCAGTTATGCTGCATGATTAGTGCAATGTCTTTATTACTACTACTATTTTAGCAGGGTGTTCCTTTTATCATCCTAAGTCTGTCTTAACATTGTATAATTAATCATGCGCTTCCTGTGGGCTTGGTATGAGGAAGGAATTATGTTCTGAATCTTACATCAAAATTCACTAAGGCAAAGACAATGTTTTGTTCTGAGTTTGTCAGTGGACACATTTTGGACTCCCTCTTGAACCTCTGTGTGGTCCAGTTTGTTAGGCAGATGGAGGTTCTTTGGAGGCTGTGAAATTAGGAAAGATGCACCTAATCTACCAGAAGATGTTGTTCAGAGTTCAAGAATTAAAGAGGGAAGTTGTTTTTTTTGGAATGAACAAATGTGTATGTATATTTTTTAAATTAAAAAACATGAAAAAATTTTAAAAGTATATTTTATTGATTATGCTATTATAGTTGTCCCACTTTTCTCTCCCCTTTATTCTCTGCCTGCCACCAGCATCCCTCCCCACCCTTAGTTCATGTCCATAGGTCGTACATATTAAGTTCTTTGGCTTCCTGATTTCCCATACTCTTCTTAACCTCCCTCTATTTTGTACCTACCATTTATGCTTCTTCCCTGTACCTTTTCCCCCATTCTCCTCCTCCCCTCCTTGCTAATATCCCTCCATGTGATCTCTATTTCTGTGATCCTGTTCCTGTTCTAGTTGTTTGCTGTTTGTTGTTTTGTTTTTTTTAGGTTCAGTTGTTGATAGTTGTGGGTTTGTTTTAATTTTACTGTTTGTATTTTTATTTTCTTTTTCTTCGGTAAGTCCCTTTAACATTTCCTATAATAAGGGCTTGGTGATGGTGAACTCCTTTAACTTGACCTTATTTGGGAAGCACTTTATCTGCACTTCATTTCTAAATGAAAACTTTGCTGGATAGAGTCATCTTGGATGTAGGTCCTTGCCTTTCATAACTTGGAATACTTCTTTCCAGCCCCTTCTTGCCTGCAAGGTTTCTTTTGAGAAGTCAGCTGATAGTTAACTTACTAATGATATGCCTTGGTATGTGCTTCCTTGGGTCCAACTTCTTGGGGACTCTTTGAGCTTCTTGGAGTTCTTGGAAGTCTATTTCCTTTGCCAGACTGGGGAATTTCTCCTTCATTATTTTTTCAAATAAGTTTCCAATTTCTTGCTCTGCCTCTTCTCCCTCTGGCACCCCTATGATTCAGATGTTGGAATGTTTAAACAGAGGTTCCTAAGCCTCACCTCATTTTTTTTTGAATTCTTGTTTCTTCGTTCTGTTCTGGTTGAATGTTTATTTCTTCCTTCTGGTCCAAACTGTTGATTTGAGCCCATTTCCTCCTCTTCACTGTTGGTTCCCTGTATATTTTTCATTATTTCACTTTTCATAGCCTTCACTTTTCCCTCTATTTTGTGACCATACTCAACCATTTCTGTGAGCATCCTGATTACCAGTATTTTGAACTCTGCCTCTGATAGGTTGGCTATCTCTTCATCACTTAGTTCTGTTTTTGGAGCTTTGATCTGTTCTTTTATTTGGGTCATATTGCTTTGCCTTGAGGCACCTGTTACATTGTAAGGGGTGGAGCCTTATGTATTCACCAGGGGGTGCAACCCACATCACTACTTGTGGCACTATATGTGGGGGAGGGGTCTGATAGGGAACAATGACTCTTGCTTGGCTTTCAGTCACTTTGCCCCCTACCCATAAGCAAATTTGGCCCTTTTGGTGCTGATTCCTGGGTGGGTGAGTTTGTGTACATTCTAGGACCCCGTGCGTCTCTTCAACTAATTCTCCTGTGAGGCTGGGAGTTTTTCCTGCGGCCACAGCCCCCACAGTTTTTATAACCGGAGGTTTTTGTGGCTTTCTTTTCCTGTGCTGGAACCCTGGATGGTGCAGTCTCACTCCCCATTTCTTCCCCCCTAGTTTATCCGCATGCAAATGCTGGACTGCCAGCTGCTGCCTTGCCCACCTGGTTCTCCAGCCACTGCTGTGCCACACATCCTCTCCGCCCTGGCTGCCTGTGTCCTGACTGCCTGTGTCCGCCCCTCCTACCGGTCTGGATGAATGTTTCTTCTTTAACTCCTTGGTTGTCGAACTTCCATAAAGTTCGACTTTCTGGTAGTTCTGGTAATTTTTTTTTTAAATTTGTTGTTGTCCTTCTTTTGGTTGTGTGAGGAGGTAAAGTGTATCTGCCTATGCCTTGATCTTGGCCAGAAGTTGAAATTTTTGTTGTTTGTTGAGAATAATTCAAATAAAACCCAAGCATTGGTAACAAGAGTTAAAAACTTCCTTTCCATTTATTCTTCCCTCTTTCATTTCCCCTAAGGGGGAGGGGACACAATCGGTAATTTCCAGTTTATACTTCTATATCATGATTAAAGGAATTGAAAAACAAAAGTGGAACTGCACATAAGATTCTGCAACTTATTCTCAACAATATATCACAAGCATTCTTCCATGTGCCCTTATAGATTGGCTTAATCTATTTGCTTGGCTCATACTATTCCACAATATACCCATGTCTCTTTAACCATCTCCCAATCTCTTTAACCCTTTCCCTCTTGATGGGCACTTAGGTTGTTGTGTGAAAGATTTTAAGTTTCTTTATGATCTTGAACTAAGTGTGGTGGGGAGGATGCATACCATGGAGAATATAAATAAAATAAAAGGCAGAGGCAAGTTTATTTAAGACACTGAGGAGTGTTGGTGAAAAAGATTACTTTAGGTGACTCTTTTACCCCTCTTTCTTTTCTCTTTTGGGTCTCAGAAAAGTGTTCTAGAAGTAGGCACTTACCAAAGCATTACTGCAGGCTAGCTTATTCCGAAGTTCCTGGATCAGATCATCCTGTTCAGAGACCTTTTGCCAGACTTCAGACAGTCGTTTCAGAGTTTCTTGATGCTCTTGAATCATGCAGGGAGAAGTGTATATGCGCACCTTTGAATGATCACCCTTGCTTTCAGGTTCCTGGGATATTTAAAAATAGTGGGTGGTTTTGGTTATAATTATTGTATTAAGAATGCTGTGATCATGAAAAATCTCTAGTCCTCTACTCTAAAAGCTTATGCTCATATATGTGAATCACAACTTTCTTAACAAAAGAAAAATCAACAAGTGTCCACACATTGTATGAAGTTTAAACAGCTCATGAGAGAATAATGAAAAGTCAGTCTTCTTCCATCTTGGCCCTCAGGTCCTCTCCTCCATCACAGTCCTTGTTACCAGTCTTTTGGGTATCTCTTCAGAAATATATGTGGTATATAATCCCTGAATTTTTTGCCTACACAAATGAAAGTCTTCTATACACTATCGTAACTTATGTTTTCACCTGACAATTTATTTAGGATGTTTTCTGCTTTGTTGCTTGTAGATCAATCTTCTTTTAAAATTAATTTCAAATTGAGCAATACAGGTATATAGTATGTTTTTAAAATTTTTAATGTTACCATTTCTCTTTGAACACCTCCTCTAAGCCTATACTCACTGCATTCTCCAGAGATGACCATTTGCACATAGCCTCCTAGAACTTTATCTATATATTTACATACATACAAATGAAACTGTAGAGTGCAGATATTATACTGTCTGTTAAAAACTTAAAAATAGATTTTTTTTCACTTAACAAGATGTTTTAGAAATTTATCCATGTAAGTACATGTGCTTCTATCTTGTTCTGTTAAATTCCTTTTAAATGTGTTTATCTAGTCTCCTACTAATGGGAATATACTGTATTTTGCCATTTATAATGTGTATCCACGTTTTTGATCCAAACTTTCAGGGAAAACATCTTCTGTTTTAATTCAATTTTTTATGTTTACATTCATTAACAAAACCAATTATTGTATCCCAGAGCATTATTTTGTATATGAATATCACTATTGTTTTCTAGAGTTATACTTTTAATGCATAAACATTAATAAATTAATTAAAAACCTTTATATAGATATGGAATCAGTACTACCCATGGATAATGCACATCCTTATTTTTCCCTGAAAAATTTGGGCAAACAAGTGTGTGTTACACATTGCAAAATATGGTAGGTTTTTGGACAGTTTCTTTTTCCTAAAACAAACCTTAATATTTTGGCATATAAATCTTTGAATTCCCATCCTGTATATGTGTAGATTAAATTAATAGAAGTAGGACTGCTAGAACATTCTTAAAACTTTGGTAGATATTACACAATTGTTCTTCTAAGAAATTGTACCAGTTGACATTCTCATCAATTTGTCTATGCCTGTTCTCCTACAGCCATTTTTTAAATGTCTTTTCCAGATCATCTGAAATCACACAGGAAGATTACTACCTGCTCATTGGTCTGTACTAATAATAGGGTGAACTGATGCAGATAATCAACAAAAGAGCAAAGAGTTCTAGTTCATATGGTAGGTCCTTTCTCCATTAAACTAATTTCCCTAACTAGGCTTTTTTTTGGGCAAAGTTAGAAACAGTACATGTTCACTGAGCATGAAAGTTGCCCATGAGCAAGCTCTAGGAGGGTGAGTCAGAAGTCTAAAATTGACCATAAATAATGTTCTTATAAATAATTTAGTGCATAAGTGGGAAGAGGATTGAAAAACAGTAAAAAAGTTAAGAAACAGGAAGAAGCTATCTATAGGCTCCAATATTTCCTTAATACTATAGGATTAAAAGTAAAAATTAATTTACAGTAACAAGCAAAAATTTTCTGAGTTGCAGAAAAATGTACATTTTCAAATGCAAAGGATCAATTAAGTGCTGAGAGCCTTAATGAAAAGTAAATTAAAATGTCCTGAGGCTAAAAGCTTTCAGAATTCAAAGACAAAACAAGTAACTTAAAAAAAAATGACAAACAGACTGAGATCTAAAAATTCCTTTTTAACACTGCATGGTAAAAGACAATACAATAATATCTTCAATGATTTACAGGCAGGTGCTTTTGAAAATTTGTATACCCAGCCAAACTAGCATTAAAGAATGATAGTAAAATAAATCTTATTCCAATATGGAAATATTGAGAAATTTTACCACCCACAAGTCTTTCCGGAGGAATTAATAGGGAATTATTACAACAAAAGGAAAAATATAAAAATGCAGAAGAGGTGGAGCATACTGCTGAGTAATGAGAAAAGTTGGTTTTCTTTGTAATCTTAAGGAACTATATGTTTTATATATATATAATTTATATATAAATATATATAAATCATTTATATATTATATAAATAGTTCTAGAGAGTTAGAAAAATAAAAGCTTTCTAACTCATATAGGGCAGCATAATCTAGGCTCCAATGACATAAGAGCACAAAATTTGAAAACATCAAACTAATCTTATTTCTGAAAATAGATGCAAAAAATAATTTTTTTTCTTTTTCCCTGATTTTATTTTAATCATTGTTCAAGTACAGTTTTCTGTCCTTTACTCCCATCCCAGCCCACACACCCCTCCCTTCCCACCTCCCTCCCATTTCTAGCCCCCCGTAGTTTTTGTCCATGTGTCCTTTATATTTGTTCCTGTAAATCCTTCCCATTCTCCCCTGAAATTCCCCTGAAATTCCCACCCCTCTCCCCTCTGGTCACTGTCAGCCTATTCTCTATTTCAGTGTCTTTGGCTATATTTTGCTTGTTTGTTTGTTTGTTTTGTGGTTAACAAATTTAGTACAGCAGTTGATTATAATATAATGATATATCACATTATTATTAAAATAATAATGTCATGATCAAGTAGGATTGAATCCAGGGACTAAGGATTATTCTATAAATAAAAATCTATTAGTATATTTACTTCATTAAAGGAAAAAACTCTATAATTACCTTGAAAGATGCTAACAAAAACTTCATATTAAATTCAACATGCACTCCTGATAAAATCATTGTATAGACAGTCATACTTTCAACTTGAAAAGAGATATTAACAAGCTGCCAAGAACAGACAATATATTAATGGTGAAATACTATAAAACATTTAATTTAAAGTATCAAGGCAAGGATGCTACAATTTTATAATATTCTAGAGGTCCTGGTTAGTGAAGTAAGATGAAAAATAAGCATAGCAACAGTGATCCTGAAAAAGAAGAACAAAGTTAGAGGAATCACATTACCTAATATCAAACTATACTACAAGGCCATAGTAATCAAGACAGCATTGTACTGGCATAAAAACAGACACATAGATCAATAGAACAGAATAGAGAGCCCAGAAATAAATCCACACCTTTTAGCTAATTAATAATTTGACAGAGGAAGCAAGCACATACATTGGGCTAACGATAGTTTATTCATTAAATGGTGTTGGTAAAGTTGAACAGATACATTCAGAAAAATAAAACTAGACCACCTTCTTACACCACACATGAAAGTAAATTCAAAATGGAGTAAAGATTCAAATATTAGACATGAAAACATAAAAATCCTAGAAAAAATATAGGCAGTAAATCTCAGGCATTGCTCATAGCAATATTTTATCAAATATATCTTCCCAGGCAAGGGAAACAAAAGAAAAAATAAACAAATGGGACTACATCAAACTAAAATGTCTTTTGTACAGCAAAGGAGACCGCCAACAAAATAAAAGACAACCCATAGAATGGGAGAACATATTCACCAATACATCTGATAAGGGGTTAATATCCAAAATCTATAAAGAACTTACAGGACTCAACACCAAAAAATCAAACAACCCAATTAAAAAATGGGCAAAGGCTCTGAATAGACGCTTGTTCAAAGAGGGCATACGGATGGACAATAGACATAGGAAAAAATGCTCAATGTCACTAATCATTGAAGAAATGTAAGTTAAAACCACAATGAGATATCACCTCATTCACCTGTCAGAATGACTATCATCAATAAATTAACACACAACAAGTGCTGGCGAGGATATAGAGAAAAGGACGCTGTTTTGTACTGTTGGTGGGAACGCAGACTGGTGCAACCACTGTGGGAGGCAGTGTGGAGATACCTCAGCAAATTAAAAATGGATCTGCCTTTTGACCCAGCAATACTACTTCTGGGAATATATCCGAAGGAACCCAAAACACTAATTCAAAAGAACATAAGCACCCCTATGTTCATTGCAACATTATTTACAATCACCAAGATTTGAAAGCAGCCCAAGTGTCCAACAGTAAATGAGTGGATAAAACATCTATGGCACATTTACATAATGGAATACTGCTCAACTGTAAAAAGAGAAATTTTTACCCTTTGCAACAGTATGGATGGAGCTGGAGAACATTATATTAAGTGAAATAAGCCAGTCAGGGAAAGACAAATACCATATGATTTTACTTATATGTGGAATCTAATGACCAAACTGAACTAACAGCAAAATAGGGATAGACTCATAGATGGAGAGCAGGATGACAGCTATTGGTGGGGTGAGGTGTAGAGGGTGGAGGGATTCAGCAAAACAAAAAAGGACTCTTGGACCTGGACACAGTGTGGTGATTGCAGGGGGGAGGGAGTACAAGGGGGTTAAATGGTAATGGAAAAAATACAATAAAATTAAAAAAATAAATAAATCACGTAGAACTCAATATTTAAAAAAGAAAAGAAAAGAAAAGAAAAATAAGTTGCACAAATGTTGAAAAGAAAGGCAATCTGGAGAAATCCCAGAGAGTCAACTGAAAATCTGATAAGCGAGCTGAATAAGGTGGCAGGATAAGAGTTTTCCTTTACATCAGTAATAATTAGTAGAAAAATAAGTGTATAAAAGATCTCATTCATACAACCAATAAAACTATAATATATCTAGAAATAAACATTGCAGGAAATAGGTGAAATATATAAAGTATAAAATCTTCCTGAAGAATACAAAAGAAAATTTAATAAAAATGGAAGCATGTGATGTTTCATAGGGTATGCTAATTTCCCTCAAATTAACATATAATTTGAAATTAGGTCAACAGAAATCTAAATTTTACCTAGAAAAGGTGTACAAAAATGACCAAGGAACAGAGAAGTAGGGCCTGCTCTAAAATGGCTATCAAAACATTTGTCACTTTTCTTGGTCACTAAATAACTTTTACCCTGGTGCAGGAACTGGCAAGAGATAAAAGAAAATAGTGTCCAGAAAGAGCCATGGGTACAGAAGACCTGGTCATTATACTGGGTTGGCACTTCATTGTAGGAGAAGGATGAGATATTCAATAAGTAGATTTGGGACAACTGGAGATACATTTGGATAAACATAAAATTATAGCCTTATCTCATTATGTATACATGAGAAATAAAAACAAACAAACAAACAAATAATAAAGTTTCCAGATGGACTACAGATAAAAACATAAAAATACAAAATTATGAAAGAACTAAAAGAAAATATAAGACAATCTTTTTACAATTGTGGGGGTAGAGAAAGCCTTCCTAAAGTAAGACATACAACCTACAATCTATAAAGAAGGATGGAATTTCAATTCCATAAAGATTAAAAATGTAAGCCCTGGCTGGCATAGCTCAGTGGATTGAGTGCGGGCTGCGAACCAGGCATCGCAGGTTCGATTCCCAGTCAGGGCACATGTCTGGGTTGCAGGCCACGGTCCCCAGCAACCACACATTGATGTTTCTCTCTCTCTCTCTTTCTCCCTCCCTTCCCTCTCTAAAAATAAATAAATAAAATCTTAAAAAAAAGATTAAAGATGTCTCTATGGTGAAAAATACCATTTATAAAATGAAAAACTACCAACTAGGAGAAAATATTTGTAATACATGTAATAAAGCATTATTACCTGTAATATATTAAGAACCTCCTAAAAATCAATATGAAAAAAGGACTAACAACCCAATAAAAATAGGTTAAGGATTTAAACAAGTAATTCCTAAAACAGAAGTCCACATGAACAGTGCTCAATACTTCGTTAGTGTCATGGTCACTGTGATGTGCCTCCCAAACTCCCTTCAGCAAGGCGTCACCTACTACTTGGGGCAGAACAAGACTTTTCCCTCTCCCTGGGGACAGCTCCCATCCAATCAACATGGAGGTATAAAGGCCAGCTCCCTTCCTCCCGATTCGGGACCACTCTGAAGGACCATCTAGCCCCAGGGCTTCCCATGGAGTGGGCTGAGCCTTTGTTGAGACTGCATCACAGCTCAGCTTTCCCCTCTGCCTCACCCTGCTTTTGTCCCCTTTGTTTCACAGGTATTGGTACCAAGAGTTCTGTCCAAAAATTTCCTATGTGCTAATCTGTTTCAAAGCCTGCTATCTGAAGAAGCCAATCCACAACTCTTAGAATTAAAAGAAATAAAAGTGGTAATGAGAAAACCTGTTTTTTTTTTATCCATCAGATTGAAAAATATACAGAGTATGGGGAAATAAACTCCCTTGATTATTACTGGTATAACTGGTAGAACCTTTCTGGTGTGCGCTTTATAAGTATCTTTACACATTAAGTATCTTTTAAACATTAAAAATAAGCATATCCTGTGGCCCAGCAATCACACTTGAGGGAATTACCTCGCAGAAATGGGAATGTTCTTTACAGCTTATTTGTAATAGACAAACAGGTCAGTAGATGGTACAGTCATGCTATAGAATACAAGGTAGTAAGTAAAAGAAATTAAGATACATTTAAAAAGCAAGTTGTAGAATCACATTCATAAAATGATCTTTTTATGTAAAAAGAAAATCCTAACTATTTATATATATAACTGTACAGCAAAAGGCTGGGGAAGATTCCCAACACATTACGTGAGGGATTGCCAAGGGAGAGAGTGGCGTAGAGGAGGCCAAAGGTGGATTTTCACATTTGACTTCCATATTTCTGTCTAGAGAGCCTATATCGTTGTAGTGAATATTACTTGTGTAATTAAAAAGAAGCAACTGGAAAAAACCAAATTCAGGAGTTTGGGCTTTTCTTTCTCATGTTTCATGTCTTTCTCTGCCTGTTTGATCCTGAAGTCATGATTTGCATGACCTAGAGGAGCCCTTCACCAGACCCTCATGAGAACATGAAAGATTTGAGAATGCATTTGGTAATCCACTTTCTGCCTTATTTGAAGTGGTGGCTTTTTATATTGATTAAGGGCCTCAAAATTCCTAAGGAACAATGTAAAGGGGACATGAAGGGTGGATGTTCAAAGCTGAGGGCCTTGTAATTTAAGGGAAGGAATGACATCTGGTTGAAGGTCTGGGTTTCTGGTGGAGAAGGCTGGGACTGTTACAGGGACCTCCTGGTTTGAGAGGCCTGGGTTAAGTCCTACCTGACTGACAATCCCGCTGAGCTCCCCTTCCAACATCTTCACTTGGCACTCCAGTAATTCAATGTTGCTTAGGGAAGTCTGGTATTTATCCCTGTAGAGGTTTAAGCTTCTTTCTAGGGAGACAATCTTGTCCCCGGCCAAGGCGAGTTTCTCCTGTGCCAAGTGGAGCTTCTCCCCTGTGCTCCCAGTATGATTTCCAATTTCCTCCTCATAGAGAGTCACCTGTTGGTGCAGGAATGAAACCACATTGAACCCATAGAAGCATCTAATGAGGAAAGAATGTGGCTCTAAGACTCCATACAGAAGAGTCTTTTATATCTTAACTCATCTTAAAAAACACAGACACGTAGAACAGACCCAGCGCAGATCTAAAAGCTACAATATATAATATCAGATTGTTAATGATTAGAAATAAAAAAGGTTATCCTATTTAGACGGTAAGCTTCTTAAAGGCAGGGACCATATCTATTTTCCATTCGGCCTGGCACGTAGTAAGAACTTCATAAAGACTTGTTAGTTGATTAATAGGGATCAATTTGTTTAGTTCTATTTCGTAAGGGCTTGAAATGCCAGCATTCTCTCTTCCCTAGGTATTCTCTAGAGGTCTAATTTAAGAAATGTAGAGCACCTTGTGTACACAGGTCCATGTCAGCAAAGTTCCCTAGAGACAGTGGGGGAACATGACCCGAAGTTCCTCTGGGATTTGTACAATCTTTATTTAGATTCCTTTCCTTCCTAATCAATTAATTAGCCAACCAACTGACATATTTATTGAATGCTCATGAGCAGTGTCTTGTGTGCTGAGGGGGTACATAATATTATACGACATAGGCTCCTCACTCAGAGTTTATAAACTCTGACAATTTTGGGGAGAGATGATTTAAAATTAGCAAACAACTGTACATAGTGGAGAGTGCTAAATTATATGGCTTGAATTACACGTATGGAAGGAGTTAAGAACAAAGAATTGCCAAGGAAGCCTTAACTTTGATTCAAATAGTTCAGTGCGGAACTAAAATAGAACAATGTTCTGTTGGTCTAAGCTCGTTATAGTTGCTGCCTGCCATTTGAGATTCTTCTTAGGAAAGGATCATTTAGTTGGAGGTGTTTATTAGGTAAGGAGGAAGAGGAAAGGAATATTTTATATTCAAACGTTTATAATAGAAGCTGCCAGTGGCCTGCTCATATCCCCTTGGTGCTCACCGATCCTTTGCATGTTAAATGCATTCCAGCCACAAGCATCTTCAACTCTGTCTAAGAGATATTCTGGCCCTAGGGGCCCACCCACGCAGAGGAGCACAAGGCAGGTTACAAGTACTGGGGTGTTAATACTCTCGATGCAGTCCTCAACCAATGACTGGGTGTATTCTACACCATCTCCCAGAGTTCTCCAGGGACTGAACCCCAGCTGTCTACAACAATGGTCTTATTAGCTTTTCTTTTTGGGCTCCCTGTCCTTTGACTTACTCTCTACTCTCTCACCCTGCTTCCTAGGATCACCTCCTGAATTAACTACTGATATCCATCTCCTTGTCTTGGGGTCTGCTGTTGGGAAACCCAGCCTTACTCAGAAGTTTGATGCTTCTGTGTAATAAATATTGAGGGAGTTTGGCAGAATGCCTAAAGTAGTTTTCCCAGTGCTTTCCTGGTTTGGGATCTGTATCAGTAACTGCTATTGCTACTGCTACTTGCTGTATCACTTTTTCCTTTCCTCATTAGTTATAGCACCTTGACTTTATTTGGGACAGCAGTGTACTTCACTAAAACAGCACATTTCCTTGGCTCTTTAGCTGTAGCCATGTGACTAACTCTGGCCACTGATATATAAGTGAAAGTGTGTGGGGCTTTTGAAGTGTCCTTAAAAGGGAGGCATGTGCCTTTCTCCCCACATTCCCCAACCTCATCCTGATTATTTGGATCAAGGATGTGATGGTTGGAGCTCCAGCAGCCACCTAAAAAATGGAAGCCTTGAGCTGATGGTGGTAGAGCTAAAAGATAGGACCCTCGATACTCAATGACACAGTTACCATAACAGTCCTAGACCTTTTTTTATATGTCATAGAAAAAAACTATCTTATTTAAGTGCTCTTACTTGGGAGTTTTCTGTTATATGCAGCCAAACTGAATCGCAACTAACTCAGGGCCACTTTATCCAGGCTGAACTCTTGTTTAAATTATAGTGACTTTTGAGTTTCAACAACAGTCCTGTGTTAGCTTTCTTACACCATGATTTATGCTCACCAGTTTTGTTCCAGATTATATTTTGTAGGGTATCTTTTCTCAGTTCCTTTCCCACCCAACCCTTTTTAACAAATTCTCATTGGCCATAATATCCCCTTTAAAAAAATTCTGTGATCTTCAAGGCCCCTTATAAAGCCCCCGGCGTTAGTCCTTAAGCAACAGCACACACACACACACATAGCACCAGCACCAGCACCATCCAAGATTGGCCTTGGAAATTTATCTTTAAAGACAAAGGAAGAAATGCCAGGGGAGGCTGCCTGTCCCATTACTTAGAGCCCATGGTTTTACTGATGCCAGTGCTGCCATTGCTCAACTGGTTTAAGTTCTTTTATAGCGTTGGTCTTTAAAATGTATTTGGGATTCCATAAGTATTCTCTCTTTGGTTTAAAAAGTACAACCCTGGGACGTGCATAGAAATGAACGTCCAGAATATAGTTAAACTAAGTCCAGATGATCTCAAACTGCCATCTGAACAAAATGACTGATCTGGTATTCTCAATGACTGACTCACACTCAATATCTGGTTATATTATCAACTGTGCCAATGCCAGGGCTTTATAGATGATCAAAACTTACTTTTTATAAGAATGGTTCATTTAATAGACCTTATGCCCCTTTTTATAACCCTCAGAGACCTAGACCCTTTTGCATTTAAATTGCAATGGAATATAAAATGGAACCACGGTCCTTCACACATGTCATACACACAAGTGCGCACACACACATGTATCACATACCCCACATGTATTAATACTGGAGCTCTCACCCAATTATGCCATTCTGTTTAGTTCTCTCTGCTAGGCTTCCAAAAATTAAGAACTAAAGGAGGAAAGTTGATAAAACCTGCTCGAGATGTTGCAAAGTGCCTCTCTGTAAATCTAATGTTTGCTTCCTAGTAGGCTTGGCCTGATTTCTGTAGGTACATGGGCACATGAGACATTTCCAAAGTAAGTCTATCTATACCTCATCTTCTTTCAGTTTGCAGTGATGGTGAAGAAGAACCAGGTCAGAAGTCTGCTTCTCTAGGACAGACTGATACTGCAGGAGGGAACAGTAAGAAGTCTGCAGCTCCTCTGTGCGAAACTCCAGTTCTTGCTGAAGGGCCAGCAATTTTTTCTTGAGCTGTTGGAGCTGTCTCAGATGGCACTGTTTACTGGGCCCAAACTCCATCTGTGATTCCTCGAATGCTAACGCTTGCTTTTTGTTCTGCAATCGAGATCAAATATACAGAAAAGGCTTTAGAATACTGCTAAGTATTCATTCATTCTTTAATTTTTTTTTCATTTGTTCAACCATTTACGTCCACCATTCACATCCATCTACCTATCCTTTTATCATTTCATCTACAGGGCACTTATTAAATACTTCGCTTTATTCACAATGAAATATCACTTTGTATTTCCACTCCATAAGAAGGATTTAAAAGAAGAAAAAACTCACAGTTTGTTCTGACTATTTAGACCTACCATTCATCTTATTTAGGTCAGAAGAAAAAACACACATGAAGGACCTAGAGAGTAGTATAAAGATATATGTGATAATATGTTTATGTTTTGTCTTCACCTATTAGATAACACAGCTGACCTGGAAGGTAATGGATTTCTGGTCACAGTTCTTGAACTAGTCTCAATTATTAATAATGCCTAGATCAAAGGGTAAACTCCTAGGTGAGTTTTTAAGGAAACAGGTTTCTGGATGGTGGGAAATGGGGGGCAGAGATACTCTTCAGGCCCGTCTCTGTCCCTCCTCCCGATGGAAGATGTAACCTTGCAGATGTTGAGTGAGTGAGTGTGTGTGTATGTCAAAGAAAGACAGAGAGAGAGGGATGGAGGAAGAGAGAGAGAAAGACAGAGACGGGGGGGGGGGGTGGGGAGAGAGAGAGAGAGAGGAGAGAGATCAAGCTCCCTGCCAATCCACAATTCCCCTGAAATGCTTCTAGATCCATCCTACATTTTCATTCATTCTTCAATAAACATATGTTGAACACCTACTTTGCATCAGTATTTTGTTGGTAGGATATATCTCTCAATTGTTTCTCTAGAACAACTGAGATATTTGCATTGGTGTGTCTATATTTTCTTGCCCAACATGCTTGAAGACATATAGAAGAGAGGTGGATGATGAGGGTGGCCTGTGGGTAGCCCTTAGCTCCTCTCTCTGCTTGTTATCATTTTATTCGTTCTTTAAAACCCTGTCCAAATCCTGCTCTCCTTCCTATTTTCCCTGCAAAGATGTCTGCATCAACACCATAGACCTTACTGGTATGTCCTTAACATGGCATTTCACATTCTTCCTTGCATTGTAGTGATCTCTGTGTATCTCATATGTAAGTAGATTATAAATTCCTGGAGGGCAGCGGCCATGTCTGCACCTGGAGGGCCTAGATTAGAGATTCATACACAGCTGGGTATTAAAAGAGGGAAGGAACTAACATAGAGAATGAGCACTCTCATTGGTTCCCAAGAATTTGAGCATGTAGCCTTGGCCTCATTTACGGAGTACTTTCAGACTTTGAAAAAATTAACTGTTTAAAAAAAACCAGTTTGATTGAGATATACTTTAGATATCATAAAATTCAACCATTGTAAGTGTACAATTTAATGATTTGTAGCAATATGGAATTGTGCGATCATTATCACAACCCAGTCTTAGAACATTTCCATCACCTCAGAAAATCCCCTTATGCCCATTGGCCACTCCTGTTTCTACCCTCAGCTCCAGGCAACCACTAATCGGCTTTCTGCCTCTACGGATTTACCCTTTCAGACATTTCATATAAATGCAATTGTATAAAATGTCATCTTTTGTGTCTGTCTTCTTTTACTTAGTATAATGTTTTTGAGGTTCATTCAGGTTCTAGCAAGAACCAGTATTCTGTTTTTTGTATTGCTAAATATACCATATTTTGTTCATCTGTTCAGCAGTTAATGGATATTTGGATTGTTTTGTGTTTTTTTTGGCTATTATAAATAATGCTATGAATATTAACATAGTAGCTGTTGTGTGAATATTATATTTTTATTAAATTGTTCAGCAAATATTATGGTGTACTTACTATATGCTGAGCACTGTACTAGGTAACAGGGATACAGAAGTTTATAAAACATAGAATTTCTGCCTTTATGTAGTTTGCACCTAACGGGGGTGGGCAGGGAGAGAAAAGAGAGGGAGAGGGGGAGGCGGGGAATCAAACAAGTAAATTATGTAGTGTATTAAAAGAACAAAGTGCTAGGGAGGACAGTGAAGCAGGGGAGGGAGAGGAGGAATGCCAGGATGGAGAAAATTGTAATTCTGAATTAAGTGTTTTCTTGGAGGACCACATTGAGAAGGTGACATTTGAGCCAAGACTTGAGGGAGACAGGGAAGGAGCCTGGCGGGAGTCTACAGCAGGAACACTTCAGGGAGAAAAAACGGCAAGTGGTAAGGCCTGGAGGTGAGAGGAGCCCAGCGATGTCTGAGGAGTCACTTGTTCTGGCTGAAGCAGAGAGAGTAAAGGGGAGAGTGGTACCAGGTGAAATGAAAGGAAAGAAAGGTGAGGTTCTCTAAAGCAACATGTACCATTCTAAAGACTTTAACTTTTCTTTTCAGGGAGGTGAAAGACCATTGGAGGGTATGGAGCAGAGGAGAATGACCTGATCTCCTTTAGATGTTACAAAGGACATGCTGGCTGTTCTGTTGATAATCAGCTCTAGGGAGGCAGAAGCAGGAAGACCAACCAGGAGGCTACTGCAAGAATGAGGGCAAGGAAGATGATAGCTTAGACCAAGGTGGAAGCAAGGTGGTAGAAGGTGGAAGAATGGTTGGATTCTAGATATATTTTGAAAGTAGAGCCCACAAGAATGGCTACTGTGTTAGATGTGTGATGGTGGGAGATGACAGTTATTCAAGGCAAGATGGCTCTAAAGTTTTGGTCTGAGTAACTGGAGAGATGGGATTTTAATGAGATTGGTTAAGTAAGAGCTGAGACCGAGAAGAAAATCCTTTCTAGTGAGAGTGGATGGAAGCAGCACAGACAAGGGAGGCTTAGTTCAGCTCAGAACCAGAAAGTTTACAGCTAATTGTGTAGGTTCAATCTGATTTACTCTTTCTGGCTCTCCTGGAAGTTTATTTCACCCTTAATGCCTCAGACAGGGAAGACAGACAGAAAATATTTGCACACTATAGCTACCTGTGAGTTTAGAGGAATCAAATTTCAAAGACTTGGAGAAATGCCTAGACTTATTTGAGACCTATTAAATTTCTACATATTCATCCTTAAGTATTCAGAAGATTATTTTTCTTAATTCTAAATGAATAGAAAATGACATGCTATGGATTAAGCCTTCATATCACTTATATGTGCCAAAAAGCAGTATCATAAAGGCATTAATGCATTTCCTATTGCTTCTTTGTCTTCTTTTTAAAAAGTTTTCTGTCTAATGAAGACAGGCATTTTATTAGATTCTTCTTTAACCTTTAAACTAAAATCTGGAGAAAATGAGCAAGTTGGAAATGATTTGATGGAAGTCTGATTAATTCTTAAAATGACTATTGAGAGTTGGAGATGATTCTGGAGGCCATCTGGTCCAACCATGTTTCTCAGATTTCTATCCAGACCTCAACTGTATGTATGTATGTATATATGTATGTATGTATTATTTTTAGAGAGAGGGGACAGGAGGAAGAGAAGAGAAATATCAATCGGCTGCCTCTCACATGCTCCCATTTGGGGACCTGGCCCACAACCCAGGCATGTGTCCTGATTAGCAATCCAGCTGGTGACCTTTTGGTTTGCAGGCTGGCGCTCAGTCCACTGAGTCACTGTGCCACTAAGCCATGCCATACCTCAACTGTTTTAAGAGATGGAGAGCACTGGCCACCTGTAGGAATCTGTTCCCATATTTAGTCAATATTTTAGCCCTACTTATGGTCAAAGAAATTATAGCTGTTGCTCCCTCTGTGCCTATGTGGCCACTTGATCACAAAAGGAAATTAATTGGCCTGGCATGATTTACTTTTGAAAAGTCACATTGGTTTCCACCCATTACTCTGTGCTCTTCAAGTTGATGCTAACTGATTGATGTTAAGTTCCATATTTTCCCTGATATTGAAGTTAAACTGACAGGTCTATAATTATCAGGATTGTCCTTTTTCCCTTTTTAAAAAGATGAGCACTTCATTTACCCTTTTTCAATCTACAGGGACTTTCTTTATTCTCTTGAGTTCTCAAAAATAATTGCTAGCAGCTATGTAATAACACCTGCCATTCCTTAAGTACTCTTCGAAGTATGTCATAAGGCCCTGCTGATTTGCCCAAAGCGGTCTTTTTGAAATACTTTTTAACCATTTTATTCCCTATTTTAATTTTAAATAAGCATCTTCTGTCTCATGCTGGCATTGCTCTGATAACCATGTCTCTGCTGATACTTTTTCTTCATTTAAGAACTGAAAGTCTCATATTTTTCCTGTCATTGTCATGAACATCTTTTCTTTTTTGAGGTGTTGAGATATTTCTCTTGTAACTCTGTTTTAACCTTAAATCACTAGATAGGTTTATCTGTTGTATTTTATACCTTCTACAAATTGCATTTCTTACAACTTTCTTGAATGTGGAACTGTGTGTTTCTTTTGGATGCACCTTCATGGTTTAGAACTTTTCTCATCAGTGATCTCTGCCTACCAGAGATTCACTTAAAAATTAACTATTTTGAAATAATTTCAGATTCCAGAAAATTGCAAATGTAGAACAGGCAGTTCTCATGTACTCTTTTTAAAAAGATACTATTTACTTATTTTTTAGAAAGAGGGGGAGGGAGGGGGAGATAGAAAGAGAGAGAGAAACATCGATGAGTTAGAGAAACACTGATCAGCTGCCTCTTGCATGCTCCGACGGGAACCTGGCCCACAACCCAGGCTTGTGCCCTGACCTGGAATAAAACCTGTGACCATTTGGTTTGCAGGACCATGCCCAACCTACTGAGCCACACCAGTCAGGGCAATTCTCATATACTCTTCATGTAGCTTCCCCTAATGTTAAAATTTTACATAACCGTAGTACATTTGTCCAAACTAAGAAATTAACATTGGTAGGTTACCATTACCTAAACTAATACTTTATTTGGATTTTATCAGTTTTTCAACAAATGTTTTTTTTATGTTCCAAGATTCAACCCAAGATCCCACATTGCATTAATATTTAATATATTCACTTAAATGTTTTTTCATTCCCAATGATTCAAAGTGATATCTCTGTGATAATTTTCATTGGAAGTCTATTAATTACTTTTATCTGCAGAAATGAAAGTTATTACAGAGTTTTATGCTAAAAATAATGTCCTTCTTACACTTCAAAGATGAGTTTGACAATCTGAGCCCTACTGAATATCAGGATGTTCTCCCCATGCTACCACCAGGGCCAAAGAAGTCTGGGAAATTGTTCAAAGAGGCCCTTCCTTTTTCTAGTTTGACCATCGCAATATCTCTGTTGTTCTTTCCTTTTGCTTTAATTGAGGCCCTCTTTTGATTCCTGGGCAGGGTAGGGACCAGAGTAAAGCAACTGACATGCAATTAACAAGAAAGCTCTCAGTCTCAAAGTTGAACAAGTGCAGGGATGGCACCTGAGAGTGAATGCCCCTTAAATTTTACACCTAGGCACTTCACTTGCTTTCCCTTAGTCCCAGCTCTGTTCCTGGGTTTTAGAACACAGTGTATTCTTGATTTACAAGATCATGTCATTTTCTTTCCTCATCACCCACTCCTTTCCTGCCACCCCTTCAGTTACACATAACGTCTGATACAATATTTTAATTGTCTAGTATAACTGTGGTCCTGAGCTCTGACCTCCTGCTTATTTCCCCAGCTCCTTGTTAGATATCAGTTGATATTTCAGAAAGTCTTGGGTTTCCCCTTTGTTCCCATATTACATTTCCTCATGGGAGGCAGATCTTGCAGGGATTTTCTGAGTGGATGAGTATAAGTCTACATCTAATTGTGTATTTGTATGCAGAGTCTGCAATTTAAATTCTGCACTAAGTGCTAGGAAAAAAAGAGCCTGTTTTAAAGCTTGTTTCAAGCTGTTAGACCTTCTGGGCAATTAGAATAATAAAATGTGACTTAATATCTTTCTCCTTCCAAGTTGCCAGGTATTTATAAGCCACATGGCTTTCCCTGACTTGGGGAATAAATAAACTTGTGACAGCAATGGTGAAAATATTCTAAAACATTAATATTTAGAAAGAAGTAAATTATGGTAATAACCTTCCTGAGATCCATTTAAAAAACCAATGGATTTCTCTATATTTGTTGTGACTTACTGGGGAAAGGACAGCAGTGCTCAGTAAGATAAGGTAGAATTGCTTTGTTTATAGCATTTTTAGAGCATTACAGAGAAACAATCTGTGGTTTCTACAGGGAAGTGGTAAGTCCTGGGAGAACTCTAACATGCACAATGAAGAGAGACCAGATCCTTGACCACAAATGTTGAAGGAGATGGTGGTTGCTTATACAGCATCTAAGAAGCTAACTTGGGGGTCCAGCACTATTGCTATGCAACCAGTACCTGCTTTATGGTTGCCAAGAACTCAAATCCCTAAACGGAAATGCAAGCTACAAAGTGAGGAATTCTTGGAAACCCTAAGTATTGAGAGAGCTATGGGAAAATATTTTCCAGCTGGCCCCCTAGCATTTGTGGATAAATTTAGAGACTGGTTTAAGGACTTAGTGCCAGAGTTTCCAAAGACAGAAAAACCTCAGGCTGAAGTGAGGTTGCCTCAGCTGATGAACTGCTTAGACAACAGATAAGTATTAGCTCAAAATCACAGTCTCAATAAAGATGACCATGCCAGGAGGTCTTTCTGTTCGCATATGTGTAGGACAAGTTTTACTGAGTATCTTGGCTTGAGCCAAGCCCTGCGACAAGGAACTGAGTATCAAGTAGTAGTTTACATGAGAGGTGATCTTAGGAAACTCAGGTAGTGGAGCAGGAAAATAAGACAAGGAAGGGAAGGAAGCTGTGAAAGGGTGTGTTATCAAGTTAGTTACCACCGTGGGCATCTGGCATTGGGTTCCATTGAGGAACTTGGGAATGGAGCAAAGAGCATGCCAGGAATTACCTCTAACTGAGGAGTAAGGGAGATAGGTTATTTAATTCGCCAGTTCTCCATCAGTCATTGATTGGGGGCTGCTTCTAGAGGCATTAACTCTTCTGCATTTCAGCTCATCCTATGATTGGGTTCTTGCATCAAGGAGAAAAGCTGCAGGCAGAGAGCTACAGGTGTGGCAATGAAGAGCACCTGCTAAAAAATACCAATGATGTATTTCACAGAACTAGAATAAATAATCCAAAAATGTATATGGAACCACAAAAGACCTCAAATAGCCATAGCAATCTCGAGCAAGAAGAACAAAGTTGGAGGAATAATGTTATCTGACTTCAAACTATACTACAAAGCCATAGTAATCAAAACAGCATGAATTGGCATAAAAGTAGACATATAGATCAATGGTACAGAATAGAGAGCCTAGAAATAAACCCACACCTATATAGTTAATTAATATTTGACAAAAAAAAGGCAAGAACACACAATGGGGTAAAGACAGTCTATTCAACAAATGGTGTTGGGAAAATTGGACACATGCAAAACAAAAAACAAAAGAAGAAACCAGACCACCTTCTTGTACCACATACAAGAATAAACTCAAACTGGAGTAAAGACTTAAATATAAGACTCAAAACCATAAAAATCCTGTAAGAAAACATAGGCAGTAAAACCTCAGACATTTCTTCTTTCTTTTTTCTGACGTATCTGCTCAGGCAAGGGAAACAAAAGATAAAATAAACAAATGGAGTTACATCAGATTAAAAGGATTTTGTACAGCAAAGGAAATTATCAACAAAATGAAAAGGGAACCCATTGAATGGGAGGACATATTTATCAATGATACATCTGATAAGTGGTTAATATCCAAAACTTATACAGAACTCATACTATGCAACTCCCAAAAAAAAAAACAACAACTCCCACAAACAATCCAATTAAAAAGTGGGCAAGTGATCTGAATGACACTTCTCCAAAGAGGACATACAGATGTCCAATGGACATGTGAAAAGATGCTCAATGTCACTAATTGTCAGAAAAATGCAAATTGAAACCACAACAAGATATCACCCCACACCTACCAGAATGACTCTCATCAATAAATCAACAATCAGCAAGTGTTGGCAAGAATGTGGAATAAAGGGAACTGCTGTGCACTGTTGGTGGAAATGCAGATTGAAGCAGTCATCATGGAAACCTAATGCACGAGGTGCCTCAAAACATTAAAAATGAAACTGCCTTATGACCCAGAGATTCCACTTCTGGGCATATATCCAAAGAAACCCAAAACACTAATTCAAAAGAATGCATATATTTGAGGCATAGCTCCGTGTGCCTCAAAACATTAAAAATGAAACTTCCTTAAGACCCAGAGATTCCACTTCTGGGCATATATCCAAAGAAACCCAAAACACCAATTAGAAAGAATATATGCATTCTTATGTTCATTGCAGCATTATTTATAATAGCCAAGATTTGGAAGCAACCCCAGTATCCATCAAGGGATGAGTGGATAAAAAAGCTGTGGTACATATATACAATGGAATACTACTCAGCCATAAAAAGAATGAAATTTTAACCATTTGTGACAGCATGGATGGACCTAGAAGGTATTATGATAAGTGAAGTCAGTCAATCAGAGAAAGACAAATACCATATGATTTCACTTACAAGTGGCATCTGAAGAACAATACAATGAACAGACAAAACAGAAACAGACTCATAGATGCAGAGAAGAAACTGATGGTTGTCAGAGGGAAGGTGGGTTGGGGAACTGGGTCGAAAAGGTAAAGGGCTTGAGAAGTACAGATTGGTAGTTATAAAATAGTCACAGGGATGTAAAGTACAACACAAGGAATATAGTAATAACTATTCTAATAACTATTATTATATATGTAGTAACTGTTTAAATTGCCAGGTGGGTACTGGAAATAGCAGGGGGAATACTTTGTAAAGTATGTGACTGTCTAACCACTATGCTGTATACCTGAAACTAATACAAAATAATATTAAATGTAAAAAAAAACACCCAAACTATTTTTTGGCAGAAAAAAAATTACTTGCTGCACTGCCTATGAGCAGTGACACCTCTGAGCAGGTGGAAGGATTGTTACTTTTTGTTAATTCAGAAGTTTGTTTAAGATGCATTAGAAGATGCTGTTCTCCTTATAAAACTGTAATTTGGTCTTGCAGGGCAATGGCCACAGGTGGTGCAAATCCACAGGTGTGAAAGGCCAGACAGGGACAACACAAAGCCTCAGATGTAGATGACCTTGGAGACAGCTAGATTGAAAAGTCCTGAGGGCAGGATGGGGGCATTGTGTATGAGAGAGAGAGGGGGGATGTGTTTAATTCTCTCAGTGCTTGGTCAGCAAATGCTCTTGTGGAAGAACTTTCTGTTATTGTTCCTGTCAACAGAAGCAGAGTGGAAGTCACGAGAGCAGGGGTGGGTAGGAGCTGCTGAAACACTCACATGGCTGCTGTTCATCATCGCCTCCTCCACACAGAGTTGATTCTCCTGCAAGGTCTTCCCCTGTCTCCTGCAAACATCATGGAGATTCTTGATGTCAGCTTGCAGGCTCAGGAGCTTGCTGTTCAGGCTGCTCACTTCTCTGTCTCTTTCCCCTCCCTGTGCAGTCAGAAAAATAGAAGCATCAATTATGAACCATCAAGAAAATGCTTACTTTCATTCACTTAACTGGTTGACAGAGACTTTAAATTTGCTGAAAATTTGTCCATCTTCCCTCTGCTGTTATTACTCATTCCGTGTAACATTTACATATTCTCCACTTTCGAGGTGTCTGAGTGCTCTGTATTATTCAGACAATTACTTATTTAATTAATCTTTGCCCACTGCTGTAGGTGCATCACAGACACTTCCCCGTTTTTCAAGAGGAAGCCAGTGCCTAGAATAATTCCAGGCACCTCGTGGATTGCCTATAAATATTAATGGCTCTGCCAATGATAAAATTAACATATTGAGATGTCAGATGAACTTGTCAAGACTAGAGAATCAGTGATGGAGTTGATGTGGATTCTGAAGTCTCTTAACTATCGCTCCTACCCACTAAACTAAAAGACCTCCCTCACCTGCAAATCTTGTGCTTTTTCTTTGGAGACATATACCAATGAGAATAAAAGTAAAATCCCTGGGCTGATTATATAAGATCATTGCCTTTGAATATGAGTGAAAAAGATTAGTTAATTATTGCTAGGTCAGAACGGAAGTTAGCGATCGAGATCATTAATAGAGTGTGAAGCATAGCAATTTGGTGGGGTTGGGGTGTGGAGCTGTGGTAAGGGGGGTGCTCCATTACCCTAGGGTGCCACCTTCGACTCCCAGTGTTGTGGGTGGCTGCCACTAGTGTGAAAAGAAATTAGGAAGTAGCCCTCTGTGAACCTGTCCAGTGCTTTAGTCCTAACACTGTGCACACTGTTCATAACACTCATGAGGACAGGTACTATCCACCACCTCTGAATTTCAGATGTTGGAACTGACACTGGTGCTTTTATGGTAGGTACCTGTCTTAAGTTAGGGCAGGCTCTAAGGTGAGGATTCATGGCACCTATTAAAGAAGCACTCCTAAGAGCAATTAGGAAGGAAGTGGGGGAAGCAGGATAGGGAAGGGGAAGAAACCAAGCAAGGGCATGCTTTCAGACATAGTCCTGCAGGCAGTAGCTTTAGCCTGATCCCACGGGGAAATCTGGAGTGTAAGTTACATCTCAAAGTCTGTCCTGATCAGGTGCACTGAGAGCTGGGCTGTCAGACTTGGCATCAGCCAGTCAATGGTTAAGGGCAGCTGCATGGGAGGTAAGCAGCCAAGGACTTCTAGCTTTCTGCTCCTCTGGGCAAAGTGACCCCAACAGCCTAAGGACAATTCTTCTAAGAGAGTCGCAGGTGTCAAGGCACACAAGCCATGGGTGCGGAGAAATGGAAAGTGATCCAGGCAACAAGGTCCCACAGCTGGTTAGGAGAAGAATGAGGAGAGTTCTGCTCTCCCGACCATGTGGCCAGTGCTCTGTCACCACAGCCCACTGACTGCTCTGGCTTCCTAAATGTACGAGCTATATAATACACATTCCTAGTGGAGGAGACCTGATATGGACATCATAAATCAAGCCTTACTGGACAGGTCAGTTTAAGAGACCTCTGTTCATGGCTGAGGGGGGCCAGAGAATCATCACGAGAGTCGGACACTACAATGTCAGAGTATGCGGAATTCAGAAGGTTTCCCAGAAGTGCTGCTGTCTCAGCTGATTTATTTCTTCATTTCCATTTAGTACCTGGACTTTTTTTTTTCCACTTTACAGTTTAATTAGGTTAACGGCATGGCTCTGTCATTAAAAGTATTTCATTATCTCAAAACTCTCCCTCTTCCTCCCCCTCCCTTGTTCCTCACTTTCAGAAAAATAACAGTGGATGTCAAACTGCCCCAAGCATGTAATTACCATTAAGACAATTACCAGGGACTCACTTAAGAGAATATGTGTAGAGCAGCTAAAAAAAAAAAAAAGAGTACAGACACTGTTTTCTAACTGGAAAACAAAATCCTTGCCCCGGCAAGGAGCAGCAGTTTGATCCCAGGGCTTTAAATCCCTTTTGTAACGACTGCCACAGTGAGAAAAGGATACAGAAGCTTATTTGGGAGTGAGATCCTATGGATCCCCTCCCCTCCTGCTCCAGGGCTGTCTTTCTTTGGCATCTATGAACAGATTAGGTCACAATAGAATGCCTGCTCTATGGAAATGCCAGATGCCCTGTACTCTTGCCTTGATGCTGAATATATGCATCTTAAACTTAAGATGAGGACCAGGTCACCAGATTGTTCCAGGAAGCCCAGCACGCTGTGGACTCGTCAATGAAGTACGAACGCTATACAACTTGAACCTCTCTGAGTTAAAAGTTAAATGCCCTTTCTCTTTCAGGACAAGAAAAAAATCCCCTCTTCCCGCATGTTTGGATGTCCTCTGGGCTGAAGACCTGCTAGCCCCTTTCTGTTGCATGACCAGGACTTCAGAATTAGATCTTTAATATAGATGATCTCATCTAATTTGGACATTAGCATAGACTCGGAGTCTCTGAGGTAATTTCTTTGTTCATAACACATGAGTATTGAAATAAATAATCTTTCTATGAGGATTCCCTGAACCAGTTGAATAACAAATGTGTTTTGCTGGATGTTAAATGAAATTTACTTTTGAAATCAAAATTTAACCATTCACTGCTAAAGGCCAAATCATACAGGGGTTTTTATTCATCAGAAGAGGAGTAGAAATGCTGGGAGAGCAATAAAATGATTTCCTTGAATCACACATTATTTTTTACTGTAGGAAAATGTAAGAAGAGACCGTGCTCACCTCACACTCTAGAAAGGCAAATGTTTCTGAGGTTCCAGTAAACCTAATTTCTTGCTACTATCTTGCACAGAGGTCACTGTACACTATTTCTAATCCTATCTACTTTTTGAAGGCTAAATTCCAGGCAGATGCCTTTTGAGTATCAATATGTCATAAGAATTGATTTAATCTGACATTTCATCAATCAAAGCTCTGTAACCAGTACTAGGGCATGAGATGAACTGAGAGTCATAATGCTGACCCTCAGGCACCATCTGATCATGTCCTAAACCTGAAGTCATTGATGGTGGCTGAAATCACAAGCCTGTGATGCTAGGTTAGTTTTCACTTACATAAGCCAAGTGCTCAGATTCCCAGTTTTGCTTAGATGAGGTTGGAACCTGGTCACTTAGCTTGACAGCATGTGACATCCAATCACAGGCAAAATGGTGAGTGCTGATACTGCAGGTGTTACCAAACTCATGATAGTTATTGAAAAATAGGTTGTGTACTGAAGCAAATTTTCTGTATTGATTAAGTGAATCTTTTTTCAAAGAGCATGTCTTCTCCCGCCCCTCCCACCCCGCTCTGGAAATTATCTTCTTTGAGGATAATGACCAATCTTCAACAATGAAAAGCCACTTTAGCCACCACTGCCATTCAATATATATAAGTTTATAGTGAGAGTTATATTTTAAAAAGCAGGCAACCTTAAAAATTAACATTGCTTCAGGAATTTTTAAATTTTGCATGTGTAATAATAGAGTTTACAGTTATATATAGTAGTTTCAAACACTGTTAGTGCTATCACTACTAACTTTTCCATTTATAGGAACATTGAGTTTTTGATTACTTATGATGGGAGTTAATGGGCATTATAAAAGGTTTTGTCTGTGAGCAAAAAATTTGGAACCAGTTACATTCTTATATTGAAGAATGAGTATATCTTGTATTTTATTGTGTTCTAAATTCTTTATAAATAGGTACACTGTATAAAGTATGTGGTTCAGGATATACACGGCATGTGGCAGAGGTCAGCCACCTATGGAATATGGGCAATTTTTATTGGCACTTGGGTAGTTGCCACATACTTTTCTCCATCATATCCTTGGAGAGTGATTATTTCACTAGAAAGTAAGCTCCAGGACTTCTGGCCAAGATGGAGGCATAGGCAGATACACTGTGCCTCCTCGCACAACCAAAGGACAACAACAAATTTAAAAACAAAATACAACCAGAACTGCCAGAAATTTGAACTGTATGGAAGTCCAGCAACCAAGGAGTTAAAGAAAACACACTCATCCAGACTAGTAGGAGGGGTGGAGATGGGCAGCCAGTGCAGAGAGGACTTCACGACAAGGCAGTGGCTGGAGGACTGGGCAAGGTGGCAGTGGTGGCTGGCAAGGGGGCGGCTGGCAGACTGGGCAGTCCCACAGGTGGATAAACCAGGAGGAACAAATGGGGAGTGAGACGGACTGCACAACCCAGGGTTCAAGTGTAGGGACATAAAACCTCAAAACCTCTGACTGAAAAAACCTGTGGGGTTGTGGTGGTGGAGAAACTCCCAGCCTCATAGGAGAGTTTGTTGGAGAGACCCACAGGGTCCTAGAATATACACAATCAGCACCAGAAGGGCCCAATTTGCTTATGGGTAGCGGGTAAGTGCTACCAATCAACACCATAATTTGCTTGTGGGTTTCAGGAGAAGTGATCGAAAGCTGGCAGAGAGCAGAGAAAATGGCATTGTTCCCTCTCAGACCCCTACCCCACATACAGTGCCACAATGCAGGGAGGTGGGTTGCCCTGCCCTGATGAATACCTAAGGCTCTGTCCCGTACAACATAATAGGCACACTGAGACAAAAAAAGTGGCCCAAATGAAAGAACAGATCAAAGCCCTAAAAGCAGAACTAAGTGATGAAGAGATAGCCAACCTATCAGATGCAGAGTTCAAAACACTGGTAATCAGGATGCTCATAGAAATGGTTGAGTATGGTCACAAAATAGAGGGAAAAGTGAAGGCTACACAGAGTGAAATAAAGAAAAATATTTCACAGGGAACCAACAGTGAAGAGAAGGACTCAAATAAATGGTTTGGACAAAAAGGAAGAAATAAACCTTCAACCAGAACAGAATGAAGAAACAAGAATTCAAAAAAATGAGGTGAGGCTTAGGAACTTCTGTTTAAACGTTCCAACATCTGAATCATAGGGGTGCCAAAAAAAGGGAAGAGGCAGAGCAAGAAATTGGAAACTTATTTGAAAAAATAATGAAGAAGAAATCCCCCAATCTGCCAAAGGAAATAGACTTCCAGGAACTCCAGGAAGCTCAAAGAGTCCCCAAGAAGTTGGACCCAAGGAAGCACATACCAAGGCACATCATTATTAAGTTACCCAAGATTAAAGATGAGAGAATCTTCAAAGCAGCAAGAGAAAAGGAGACAGTTACCTACAGAGGAGTTCCCATAAGACTATCAGCTGACTTCTCAAAAGAAACCTTGCAGGCAAGAAGGGGCTGGAAGGAAGTATTCCAAGTCATGAAAGGCAAGGACCTCCATCCAAGATGACTCTATCCAGCAAAGCTATCATTTAGAATGGAAGTGTAGGTAAAGTGCTTCCCAGATAAGGTCAAGTTAAAGGAGTTCACCATCACCAAGCCCTTATTATAGGAAATGTTAAGGGGGCTTATCTGAGAAAAAGAAGATCAATAATATGAACAGTAAAATGACAACAAACTCACAACTATCAAACTGAACCTAAAAAAAACAAAACAACAAACTAAGCAAACAACTGGTACAGGAACACATTCACAGAAATAGAGATCACATGGAGGGTTATCAACAGAGTGGGGGAGTGGGAGAATAGGGGAAAAGGCACAGGTAATAAGAAACATAAATGGTAGGTACAAAATAGACTGGGGGAAGTTAAGAATCGTATAGGAACTGGAGAAGCCAGAGAACTTGTATGTATGACCCATGGACATGAACTCAGGGAGGGGAATGTGGGTGGGAGGGAGGGAGAAGGGCAGAGGGGAATAAAGCTGGGGGAAATGGGACAACTGTAAAAGTATAATCAATAAAATATATTTTTAAAAAACAATTAAGCCCTGGCTGGTGTGGCTCAGAGGACTGATTGTGGGCTGTTAACCAAAGGGTCACTGGTTCGATTCCCAGTCAGGGCACATGCCTGGGTTGTGGGCCAGGACCCCGGCGGGAGCCATATGAGAGGCAACCACACATTGATGTTTCTTCCTCTCTTTCTCTCTCCCTTCCCCCTCTCTAAAAATAATTAATAAAATCTTTAAAAAAAAGGAATAAAAAAAAAAGAAAGTAAGCTTCATGAGAACAGGGATCTTTGTTTTGTTCAGTGCTTAATCCCTAGCCCCTAGAACAATGCCTGGCATATTGAAGGGGCTCCATAGATATCAACTGGAAGAATGAATACCCTTCTAGAGAATGCATACCAGATCCTTCATCCCTGCAAAACTCTCAGCGAATCCTGTATGGGTCCCTCTAGCAATCCAGCAGGAAAAGAGCTGAAACACCTCTTTTAGAAGCTGCTCACCTCTTGGTAGGAGGTCTGTTAAAAAGCGTATGTCATGTGGGACAACCCTAGGCTAATCAAAACATACCTCTCAAATCCTTCTGGAACAAGTCAGGGAAAACATAAACACAGTCTGACCGAAATATTAGACTAAACACAACACTCCACTTCCCTATCATTCCAGATAAAGAATGTTGGCAACAATAGTTAATATTTTTAAGTGATTTCTCTGTGCCAAGCAGTAGTGTTTCACATGCAGTATTTTATTGAATCCTCATAGCAAGCCTTTGGAATAGGTGCTCATTATTCCTGTTTTTTAGGTAAGGCAAAGGAAGCTCTGAGAGGGTGTGCAACATGCTCAGTATTAAACTGCAGTTAGGTGTGGACTCAGACCCACCTTGCTCAAGTGTGGACTCTTAAATCCTGTGCCCTGCTTCCCACCTCTGTCTGTGATATTTTTGGATGCTCATTACTGAAATTTTGAATCATGAACCTTGAAAAGAACTGCCTTGTAACAAAGATTCAACTCTGTGTTTGTAGAGGAGTTAGCCTTACCTCATCTTTCATTTCCTTGGCACCTCTCATTTCTCCTTTAAGCTTTAGCATTTTCTGAGCTTCGTTATAAACCTGGAAAAGTATAAAAATTTAAGATGGAAAAAGTATAAGTGAGTTCAGCCCTTTAAAGGCTTTCCCATCTGGATGTGTGTTCTCAGCAGGGAGTTCAGAAAATTTTCCCCGATTGTTAGCAGTGCTTACTTGCCTACCCAACTGTTGGTGTTTCCAAAAGTGTTAAAACCTTCACCAGGAAGAAGACGACCATAGTTTTACATCTTCCCCCTCCACCAAAAAAACAAACAAACAACCCACCACTAAATAGTTTCTAAATTCATCCTTCTTGGAAAGCAAAAGGTCTGAAATGATCTTACTTTCTAGATTTCTAAGTATTCTATGAGTCAAACACAGCTAACATTATGCACTAATGATGAACCAGATGGAATGTGCACAGCCCAACTTGATTCTAGTGATAACCCTGGGAGGCAGATACTATTACTATTTCTATTTTATGGAAGGGGAAATTGAAGCCCAGAGAAGCTAAGCGACTTACTCAAAGTCACACAAGCTCCCTTACCGCTCCACGAGGAGCTTCCACTAATTTATAACTATTAATTTGGAAATATCTGATGATGTGATTTAAGCATCAAGTTACTGTAATGTTGGTGCTTGTAAAGTTAGGAAACATAATGTGTTGTGAATATCTAGGTAAAAAGCCTCAAAGCCAAAGATTTTTGCATATGTATGTGCGTAAGTACAGGATGATGTATTTGAGGTCATAATGCATTGAGTTTAATAAAATAATCTAATTCATTATGTGTTTAACTCCAAGACTAGAGGAAATTTCCACCAAGCACTTACCTGCAGAATAGTTCCAAGAATGAGAAGCTATCAAAATACTTATTCTTTGTAATGAACCACATCCCCCACCCCTAATGTAAGCCAAGAGGAAGAAAGAATGCTGGTGAGTCATAGAATTTGGAATGTTTTATGGGGTTGTATTCTGATGTGCTGCATTGTTTATCCTCTTAAATCTTCATGCACAGAGATGCATCATGGGAATGGTGATGTAGCTCAGGCTTACCCAGCAGGGAGAGGCTAGTGATGCTACAAATCTCAGTGGCTTATAACCATGAAGGTTTATTTTTCATTCATTCTACATGTCCTTTATGAGTCAGCTGGGGCTCTGCTCTTCCTTGTCCTCAGCTGGTAGAACCTTTATCATTCAGTATGTTGCCTGTTGCCATGGAAGCAGAAAGGGAACTTGGTGAATAACATAGAGGTTCTTAAAGTGGAAGTGACACATTTCACTTCTGCTCCCATTTCGCTGGCCAAAACAAGTCACATGGTCATGCCTAACTTCTTTCTTTATTCCCCAAAGGAACTATTAGTGAATATCACAAATGACTTCCATGCTAGGTGTCTTAGCTGGTTGGGCTGCTATCACAGCCTGGGTAGCTTAAAAACAACAGATTTTTTTCCTTATAGTTCTGGAGGCTGAGAAGTCCAAGATCAAGCCACTGGCAGAACTGGTATCTCGTGAAGACCCACTTCTGTAATGGCTGTTTTTTTTTGTTCTGTAATTTCACATGGTGGTAGGTACAAGGGAGCTCTGTGAGTTTTGTTTTATAAGGGTGCTAATCTCATTCATGAGGGATCCATCCTCATGACCTAATCACTTCCCCAATGTCTCATGTCCTAATACCATCACCTTGGGGGTTAAGATTTCAACACATGAATTTTGGGGGACACAAACATTTAATCTATAGCACTAGGTAATGAGATGAAAAGTAATGTGGCATAAAAGAACACTAAACAGGGCTCTAGGCGACCAAGTTTCTAAACCTGGTTTTGCACCTAATTTAAAAAGTAGCTTTTGGAAAGGTATTGATCTCTGTGAGCCTTTGCCTTTGCCTCTGCCAACTGGGGGACTGTAGAAAATGACTGTTAAGTCTTTCCTACCCCTAAGGTTTACTGACTCAATGTTCTACCTTGACAGACGTCTTTCTTACTAAAGAACCATGAACTCAGCCCAAGCATCACACAAAATTGGAATAAGACAGTATATCCTTGGGGAGTGATGCTGGGCTGTAGAGTCTGACAACCCGGGCTGAAGTCCTGGCCCCATTTCTTTCTTGGCATGTAAGTTTGGCTATGCTTGTTGACCTACCTGAACACCACCTGCTCATCTGTAAAATAGGGGGTGATAATTGTACCCATGTCATAGGCAGACCCACTGGATAGTCAGGAGATGCTTCTTAGGTCAAATGCAATCTTGTCGCAAAGACAGAAGATGATTGTCCGGATTGTGACTGTTTCATCCGCTATGGAGTTACACAATGATAGCTGCAAGGACCAGGAGCACTTGGAAGGGAAAGTGGAAGGCACCAGCTCTTCTATTTGCATGGAAATATATTGGACTTCACTAAGTAAAATTAAGTCAGAGGGAGAAGAGAGAGCTGAATTGTGTTCCATGAAAGAGACATAGGAATCCTGTGAGTCATTAAGAACAGCAGTGGGCAATTTGGAAGTGCTTATGATGAAAAAAATGGAAGGGTTATATGATAAATTTTCGAAGCATTGACAGTAATGTTTGCCAGATGGATAAGGAAGAGTGCTTTGAGGGAGCCTCAAATGCTTTATAAAATGATCACGTGAACCTTCACAGAGCTCTCTGAGGAGTGTGGCTGGACAAATATTTCGTAGAGAAGAGAAATCATCACAGAGGGAGGGGCTCCCTACCTGATCTGTGGATATTAATCTCTGGGCCCAGGACTTGACTGTCTTTTTTCTCCTCAAACCCTTAGTCTATTCAATATGTCTCCTGGGCTGCTGTCTCCAGCTTCTTTGTTGAGGCCTTAACTTCCTCACACCTCTTCTCCATCAGCATCTTTAATTTTGCTGCAACTGCCCACAGAACTGCTTTCTTGCATTCAAAAGTTCTGCTGTCTGCTTTTCCAGTAGGCCTTCCCTTGGTGATAGCTGTGTCCAGAAAAAAAAAATTAGCAAAAACAAAATCTTGGTCAGAGCAACAAGTAATGTTTTGTGTCTCCTGGATTGACCTCAGTCCACACCCACAGCACCTTACAGATTCTCAAGAAACACTAACATTGCATCTCACGTGAGTGTAGCAGGTATGAACAGGTGTGCAAAAAAAAGTTACTATTTTTCTATTACTCTTTATTGAGTCCCATTTCCACCAAATGGCAGAAAACAGAATCTTAGCTGTTTTCTGAGAAAGCTCCATCATTTTTAGCTTAAAAAGTAAATAAGCTCACCAGCTTCTTCACCTTTTTAAGGCTTTTCAGAATGTAAATTCTGGGTCCTATGTTGGATCCTGGCATTAGGGTTGACTCTGGCCCGTGGTTATGGGCATCTCTCCCAGCTGAAGTGTGCTAAGATAGATGCCTGTATCCTAGTCAAGGGACCATATATACTGCATGTTCCTCATATTGTGGGCTTTGAGCCTGCTGGCCCTCTTTTGCCCCCCATGGATGCTCCTATAATGCAGAAAGAGACACACACACACACACACACACACACACACACACACACACACACCTGTGAGATTGGGCTCAGGCCCTTTGTTCTTAGATCTTTCCTACCACCTTTCTATGTTTTGCCTGGAAAGGTGTTGAGAAGAAGGGGATAGAATCCTAAGATCTTGCTTACTTTCCTGCTCCCCATTCCTGGTATTGATCAAAAGGCCCTTCTGCCTCTAAAATGCTAAATCTGTCTGAGGTTCTATTGTATTCCCCACTTTCACCCATGTCTTTGATCTCAGGGTCTAATTCTCTTGCTTATGCTCAAATTCCCCTTTGCTTCCTTTTTCTTAACTCAGAGAGTCTTTGTTTAGTTTTGGGGAGAGAAAGGAAAAAAAAAGGGTACAAGTGAACAAGTTCAATGAAACACAGGTTGAGTGGGCAGGATGGGAAACACATGTTAGTGCTTCATGCACCATCGACCCACATTAGATTGCACAAAGGCCGTAATCACAGATTGCTGCCACCGGCTCTCTCCCCAAGGAGCCGGTAACTGCCTGGGTGTACAGATGGACTACTGGTCTTAGAGCTGTGCTGTCTATTCCTTCTATTCCTTTTCCTCCATGATCTGGATGAAAGAATATCAAGGATCTAGTTTTCTTCTCTAAAGCATTTTTTCTAGGTTTTCATGGGAAGAGATGCTATTCAGTTTAAAGTTAAAACTATCCTTGGGAATTAATCAACACTAACAGACAAGTTTACCTATACTCAGTCATAAGTCTTTCCTTTACTCTTACTGAATTTTAGATTTTTCTCCATGTTCTACCTTCTACCAATGAAAAAGATGAATTCTAAGTTTCTTAGTTATTGAAATGAAAGGATGTTCAGTGCTTCCCTTATTTAAAAAATATGTGAGCACCATGAATGAACAGGAATACTTCTTCCTCAATAAATTATTTCTACTCAGAATGAATGGACAGAGCCATAGTGTACAGAGGCGTGGCATGAAGAGAGTCTGTCTCTTTGAATCTAAACCCAGTTTTGAATCACAAGAGAAAAATTCCCGATTATGTAGGGCATACATACTAGGGGAAGATGGTAGGAGGAGATGATGCTGGGGATAGTTTTTCCAGGATATGGGGATTTAATTCCCAGTCAGGACACATGTCTAGGTTGTGGGTTCGATCCCTGATCCATGTGTGAACAATCCCTGGTCTGGGCATGTATGGGATGCAATCAATGGATGCTTCTCTCTCACATCGATGTTTCTCTCTCTTCCTTCCTTCCCCTCTAAACGCAATGATAAAATGTCTTTGAGTGAGAACAAACAAACAGACAAACAAACAAAAAACCCCTGAGGGTGCAGAAGGAACAAGAAAAGGATTTCCAGGATTTTTCAGGCTCACTGTCACAGGTGAAAATCTCTCTCCATGGCTGCCTCCTTTGGTACTTCAGAGGCTTTCATTTGCCTACTTCAATATCTATAAATCTATCTTCCTTAGTAAGAGAACACTAATTTTATTGTTGTACCCA